ACCATCAGTGAATATTTTCAAAAGAAAGCTGAACCTTCATTGGAGGGCAATCTGTCAGGATTAACACAGGTTCACTAACCTACTATCATTATTACTGAAGACTAAATACTGCTCGACAAAGCTGTATTCTGAGCGCAATCTCATCTTGAACATCTCTAAAGAATCTTGCGAGAAGTTTTTCTGCTGGAGAAAAACATGATTCGGGGATGGAGTAGCCTTTTACATGCGATCCTACCTGGAGGTACACTGAGCTCACAACCAGAGTTTATCAATCTTGATGAATCCGTATGGTGTTCAGTAAGATTGTCTACCAATTCGAGGTGTCCAGTTGGGGTCATCTACAGGGAGAACACCGTTAAGATCGAATATGGCAGTCGTATGCTGGAAGGATTATCCCGCTCTACGCGTCTCGGATTCACTCATATCCTGATTCTAGGGGACTTCAATCTCCTTAGAGTCAATTTCGTGGAACATACGTATATTGTAGGTGAAAACTCAACTGAAGCTCGGTTCTTCAACCGCATTGAGGATCTGGGATTATCCGAAAATGTGAAGTCGGCAACTCGTTGGAGAAACCGCCAGATACCGTCACGCTTAGACTGAGTATTTACAAACGAAGAATTCCTAGTTGACAACCTTTCGATCCTGACTCCTCCAGGGAAAAGCGACCACGTTTCATCTGTAACTGCACAGGACTTTCCGAAGCGAATCTGAGCGCTGACTTGGTGTTCCGGAAACTGCAGCACCTAAGAAAAGACGCTTCTCCTGGCACAGATATGGTTCATTCTGCTATACTGAGGGAAGCAAAATCATTCCTGGCAACACCGCTTAGCGTGATGTTTCACACTAGTCAAGTCGAGGAGAACTACCGGAATTTCGGAAGCTGGCTCACATCACACCAATCTTCATTGGAAGTCGACACTGTGAACCTCCAAGTTGCCGACCGGTGGCTGTTCTCTCTATACCTTCAAAAATCATGAAGTCCCTGATATGCGATGGCATAAATGACTATTTACTGTCCTTAAATTTCTCCTCACCCCAACAGCATGGTTTCAGGAAGGGTCGCTCTTGTATAATCAACCTGCTGACTACATCCTCGATCGCAAGGGAAAGGTTGATATCATTTACCTTGATTTCTCAAAAGCTTTTGATAAGGTCAACCACTTGTGTCTTACCAGTAAACTCAAACGACTAGGTATCAAACCACCTCTAATCGATTGGCTTACTTCATACCTAAAAAATCGACACTTAAGGTTAGGGTTAATTTACTTTATCTCAGGCTATGGAATGTCCTAGTGGAGTCCCTCAGGGCTCAGTACTAGGGCATATTCTCTTCTTGATCTACATAAATGATCTTCCTCAACAGGTAACGTCAGACTTATTACTTTTTGCTGATGACGTGAACCTTCGGAGAGAGATACGCAACCAAAAGGATATACAGGCACTTCAGGAGGATATGACTCGACTTCAAAGTTGGGCAGACGGTAACGGACTTACCTTTAACACTTCAAGGTGTAAAGTGTTCCACCTGCGTCATGTTGCAGACTACAGTTACAACATAAGAAACTCCTCTCTAGTAGTATCCCAAGTCGAAAAGGATTTGGGCGTATTGGTACCCTACTACTTGAAGTTATGCTAACTGTGACAAAAACGTCTTTCGAGCAAACCTTGCACATGTAACATTGAAGCGCATTTTTGATCAGTTTGACGGGGAGACTTTCCAAATAATCTTCACCAGTTTTATCCGTCCCCATTTACAGTACGGAGATACAGTATTTCCTCCCTTACTCTAAAACGATAAGGACACTCTGGAGCGTATCCAACGGCGAGCCATAAAATCAGTTCGGAGACTCAAATTTAAACCTTATGAAGGGCGCCTCCAATCACTTAACCTTCACCCACTAGAGTAAAGACGTCTTGAAGGTGACTTTCTGACGGCTTACAGTACCCTTAACACTTCTGGACATCCCCTTAAACACCTACTCAAGCTTAGTCTCAATACAAACCTAAGGGGTGACACCCAGAAATTGGAGATACAACATGGCAGAACGGACTGTAGACACAACTTCTACTCCTTTAGAGTTGTCAAATTCTGGAATTCGCTGCCGACCGAACTAGTTCAAGCATCTTCCCAGAAGTTATTTAAGAGGAAACGACCTATTATTAAGGACTAAGGATAACATCTTATTATGACTTGCCAACTTCTCTTTTCCAGTATTATCGTTAGTATACCTAGGTTCCTGCCTGGAGGTGTCGGTGATCCACTGCTACTGGACACAGAAGCTTCTTCTATCCCATCCACAACCATTTGAACCCTTTGAAGACTGAAGACTTACCAAGGTCAATGCCAACGTATTATTAGGCGGTACCAACAAGTTCTGTGTAAACGTGTCTGTAAGAGTTTGTGTTGTTATGTCGATTTTTTGACGTTGAGAACAAGTCTTTTCATAGGAAAATAAGCTCTTTTACATTTGGGTTTCAACTAGTAGAATTGGGTTTACTTCCAGATTAAACAAATCTCCAGACATCATGATGTCTACCGTTGCAATGGTAGTCATATTTGACTCATCGAGAATGGAACTAACCATGTGCAATATTCAGTTACCAATTCCTTGGGAAACATCTTTTAGGCAAAAGCTAAGCGGTGTACACGGCACCATAAGTGTAATACAAAGAAAATCCATCTAGATGATGATTATCTTGCTAAATTGGGATGTAACTTTATTTCCACGAAAACCCCTTCAGTGTTTACCTATATTTGCCAAATATGGTCATTTGGTGATTTTCTGGTCAGATATACTGAGGGACTAGCGGTAAATTAACTTTTGTAAGTTGGCCAAGGCCATAAATAGTTGTTCACAAAATTGATTACTAGCAGGGGTCTTCCGTCACTTCTGTTCCTTCGCATCTTTGTCTTTGTTTTCGGGTATTCAACCAGCCTTTTTGTGATTGGAAGTGTAATAATAATAATAATAATGGGGGAAACGGAAAGGTACAACCAGAAAGAATTCTTTCAGTTAAGCAAGATACAACCACTTTTTACGAAGAAAGTAAAAGAAGGTTACAGCATGATCGCCACTGGCTTCTATTCTGAGCCATATCTGATAACGTCTCTAGCCACTGTGTCGCAACATCTCTCGGACCCCAGCCAGGGAGTCGTGAAGGACCAACACAAGCCAGTCCTTTGCAGCTTTCTTTCATGCCACGACACCATGTCAGGCACTGACCACCTCTCCGATTTTTCCAATCAGTCCCAGAGTCGGCAAATAATGCAGTGGCCAACGAAGTGACCGCCATCAACGGATTGATGTTAGCAAGCTGGTTGCAACTTCTGCTGCAAGTAAGTATCGAACCGAGCTAGCCTCTAGGCTAGCTACCACTCCACCGAAAAGTATAGATGAGCATTGGTTGCAATTGCATGACGCCATGAAAATGGCGGGAACAGTCAGTTGTGGGTTTGCGAAACGTCCCGCTTTTAAGCACTGGGTTTCTTTTGGTTCCTTACAACTCATTGAAGCCCGTCGGTCTACTCCGGGTGACCGTGAGTTTGACCATAAACGAAGGATGTTACGTACTGAAATTGGGCAAAGCTTGCGTAAGGACCGAGAAGCCTGGTGGTCGAAGCGTGCTAATGAGCTGGAAGCAGCAGCTGCATCTGGTAACTACCGGAAGCTCTTCCAGCTCATCCGAGCCACTGGCAGCAAGAAGTCTGGTGTGAGGGAAACAATCTGCGAGGATGATGGGATGCCAATCACTAACATCCATCGACGTCTTGGTGCAACACAGTGGCTAGAAGCGCTATCAGATATGGCTCAGAATAGAAGCCAGTGGCGATCCTGCTGTAACCTTCTTTTACTTTCTTCATAAAAAGTGACCGTAACTGCTTTAACTGAAAGAATTCTTTCTGGTTGTACCTTTCCATCTCCCCCATTATTATTATTATTATTACACTACCTTACAGTAATCTGTTCGTTATTGTTCTTGTTTTTACGCTCCTTACCTCCCTTTTTTTCTCTCTTCGATTTCTCCTTGTTTTGTATGGCGTATATATATTTGGTGCCCTCTTGTACCAATATTTATGTGTTCAAATAAATAAATAAAAAATTATAAAATGCTCTGAATTTTACTAAACCAACTGAAAGTTCAGAATAATATAGATATCAAAAGACAACATGGAATCTGTCCATAAATTCAATGACTGTTGAACTGAGTTTTGTCAGTCACTGCAGGGACTTTGGTTGCTATCCGTGACATAGCCGTACTCTGTGGTTCATTGTCTTAAAAATACATTAAACAATATCATATCGATTGAACCTAAAGTTATTCTCTCTCCTTTGCTTCTCGTCTTGTTATTTTCCACCCACTGTGCTAATACAAGGTATAAAAACATAGGTTAATATACGTTCTTTTCAGCTTCTACTCAATCTCGGTGTTGATCGATCGACCATTAGTATGTTACGGTACCAGCAAGCTTTCTTACTGCATTTGATCAGACTTGCTGTAGATTGTGTAGCATATCATCGTGTACCATAACACACCATGTAGGCTGAGTATATCAAAATAAGTATCAACGGGGTAGATGGGTAAGCCCGTATTTATTACTAGTTCTTAAGGTTTCCATTTACCTGGGATATATAAGATATTGAACATCAAACGAAATTTTTAATTCTGTTCCGGACCTATTCACATTAGATGACTACCGTCTGTCCAGTAACTTGCCTTAAGTATCTCTCCGTCAAAATCACGCTTACATTGTGTCTTTTAAGAACAGTTTGGTAGATTTTTTCTTATGTTAAATGGTTTCAAGGAAGCCATGTTGATATTTTATGGTTTTGAAAACAGAATTAAAGTATGGATGATATTGTGTGGTAGATATTTCAGGTACTAATTTTTTTCAAACCTTGAGCATTTGTGATGAAATTTGTTGTGTTTAACAAGCTGTGCATTCATGACATATACTTCCTTAGTATTGTTTTTTCTTTAGATTTTCTAAACTGACAATGAAAGTTAAAGAGTTGGAGAAGTTTGCTCATTCGGCCTGGTCACCTCTTTCATGCAATCGTACTTATTTGGCAACTGTCACCGCAGAAAATGATCGCGAGGCAACTGACTCAAATATAAATACTAGGTAAGCGTGTTTGTTCAGACAATTGCTTCGAAATTAATCGAATTGAGTATTAATATGAAAATATTCAAACTATCTGTTGATGATAAATACAGGAATGTTAAGTTTTTTGATTGTAGTCTCGTCCTAATTTTTTGATGATAAGGAAATAAGACCGTTGTTGACACCCTTAATCAGTGCGTGGTTTAACCGTAGGAGGTGAATTAGTCGAACAACCTAACCATTTCCCTTATCTTCATTATATTAGCTTCAATAACTTGATTGGTGGGAAAATCTCGGAACAGATACCAAAGGATCATTTCGATTTTACTAAACTAGGCCATTTGTGTCTGCGGTAGTATGTTCGTCGGTCGGTCAAAGTGATAAAATACTCCTCAGTAGTTCTTTTTGTATTACCCTATGAGTATGAAGCATGACCTTTGAAGATACAAGTGAATGTTACGAGTATTTGGTCATATTCGGCATCCGAGCATTATTCATATATCCTTGATCCATCAGTCAGTCAGCTACAACGTAGGACCAGGCACATATATGCATTGGTCCAAGTTGCCACATCTCATTAGCACAGCAAGATGAACATCGAATTCATAGAAGTAGTTACTTCAATGGTAGTAATATATAAAAGAAAAATTGCGTGTTAGGATATAATACAGGAAGAAGGAATTAGTTCGTAGAAAGAAAGATATGAAGCGATTTTAAACTCATAGTTTAAGAGAAGACACAGAGTGTATACACCTACATCATTGTGATCGGTTCTCAGCCATGTCACCCACAGTCTCCAATTATTGGTTATGATAGCCTGCATTTACCAACATGGCTCAGACTAGAGGTTACTGACTTTACAGACTGGTGCCGTGTCTTGGTTCGGCCACCCCTAAATTTCTTCCAACCATCCCCAACACCGGTTAACATTGCGCGTCGTGGTAATCTGTGTTCAGACATACGCAACACTCAGCCCAACCATCTCAGTCGATGAAGATTCACAACCTCATCAACTGATTTACCATCATTCCCTAATACCCTGTGTCTAACCTCACTATCACTTACCCGGTCATCCCAGCAGACGCGGGCAATATTTCTAAGACATCTGTGACCAAATACTAGTAACTTACGAGTATATTCTACTCTTATTGGCCACGTTTCGCAACCGTAAAGTAGAAAAGAACGAACTACAGAGCAGTATACTCGTCCCTTAATTGATAGATGGATATCTAGCCTTTTCCATAGGTGACGTCAGCTGACAGAAGCCAAACAAGCTTTTCGAATCCGTACTGAGGTTTCGCCAGACACCAACCCATTAGGGCTGATCAGACTTCCAGGATAAGTGAAGTTGTCGGCGCGTTTGACTACTTCACGAGTATTATGTCTGAGCGTTTAGCTTTTTGAAGAAGTTCAGAAAGCTTTCTGTAAAAGTCATCATTCACTTCATCTGGGCTTCAGTCAATGGGATCGTAGGCATAAATGACGGAAACGAAACGACGTATGTTCCTATCCTTCCAAGTTCTTATGGAGCTGAACAGCACAAGACGACTGTTAACGGGGATCCACTCTCTTAGTACTTGTTCTGTCCTCGTACTCAGTGCTATGCTTACATCTGCCGGTCCACTAGAATTAGTCATCGAGTCACCAGATACACGATGTATCTCGTTGGCTCTCCGTTTTGCCGAGGTGAGGTCAAGTGAATGACCACACTAGGATCCTGTATGCGTGTTTTAGAGACAGTATATATCCATGGTACGAGATTCTAAGATTTTAGCCAAGGAGGCCCGTTGGCCGATTTGTCATAGGGTGCGTACGCTGAAGGCTCTAATGTGTAGTTTGGAGCGAGGTTTCAGTAGACCTAGGACAGTGTTTCACACACTAGAATCGTTGGCCATGTTGACATTTGAGGAGGAATTTTGAATAAATTGAGCATTGGGTTGATTGTTATAAATAAAAATAATATATTTGAGGAGGAAGTTTAGAGTTGAAGGTCGACACACACTGAAGTTTACAACAATAAAAATTATCCAGATTGTATTCAGTAAGGAATGCACTGTCTCATGTATTGAGTGATTTAAACAAACCATACATACTTCTAACCAGAAAAAGCGTTTTTCCATGGGATATAAATATTTTTATTTCTACTGTAAAATTACCTGCCACAAAGTTATTATTTTCATGCTGCTTCGGTTTGGGCACCCGGGCAGTATCCCAGCCCTCACACAGATCGAATGGTTTATGTGGCGCATATCTATTTGGTACCTTCTTCGACCTATGTTTATGTGTTTAAATAAATATAAATAAAATTATCTTCATACATAAATTATTACGATAAGTTATTATAAGATATTCGGTAGCTATAATTTCCTAAAGATTCTTATTTATCACTGCATATTCGCTGATTCACATCCTCTATATGACTGAATATTTCTTTATGAATAGCTGCCAAATGCCCTGGTACGGCCGAGAGTGGAGTGGTCCCGCTCTCCCTCTCGAAATGCTCTCACACAGCCACGTGTATACAGCCGCTGTCAGGGAAGTCCTACTCACTGCCTTCTCATGGCGAGGGTGTTGTTTACGAAAATGAGAGGACGAAAAGTGAATATCCGGCGCTTTAACCGGATCCCAAACAAATAGTATACATTGGCTCCAGGATCCTGAAGGGACAGTTGGCATGTAAACCAATTGTTGGTCACTGGCTACCATGTGACTGCATCTCCTGATGTTGCCCCTCTGCCTTGTGGATTAGACCTTTAGGTCAGGGACTCAAAGTGTGGTCTCCTACAGAAACCACCTACTTCGGTTCGGCCACCCGGGCAGTATCCCAACCCTCACACAAATCGAATGACAAAGTGTGGCGCATGTCTATTTGGTGCCTCCTTGTACCAATGTTTATGTGTTTAAATAAATAAATTCTTTATGATTTCATTATATCTTTTATAATTTAGCATGACTTCTCCAACATTAGATATTTATGAATTCAATGTTAAAGATAATAATCTGTCTATGCAAATGAATATTAGTTTACAAATTAAACAAAAGTAAGTCAATGTTTTATTCTTTTTAAATGAAAATTTAAAAGAATGTCGTTACATTTACAAGTATGATAATACTAACTGATTGCATAAACAAAAATAGGTAGGGTGGGTTTCGAACCCAGGACTTTGTGGTTGAAATTTAAGCTTCTTAATCACTAAGCTATCAAGTATTAGTCAATCTTTTTATTTAAAGCACTATCGTACTACCATGGATCAGACATTATTCATAAATAAAACTACAATTAAATAGGCTATAGGAAAGTTTCCTTTTTTTTTCGTATTGTGATTTGTATGTGGATCAGTTAGTCCATAATTAACTATTTGCCCTTAACAATATGATTTATCCTAAGAATATCCTGGTACAACCGTGTTAGAATCAAGTCTAATTTCTATCTTCATGTACATTTATATGGATATGTGTTTATAATCCATACCATGAAATCTCTTTCCTTCATGTGACATCTATATTTCCATAAAAGTGGAAAGTGAATGCAAACTTCCAGTACTGAAATGAGATAAATAGAAATGGTAAATCATCTCACTTATAAGAGTTAGAAAACTATAGTTTCCTTTTTGTTTTATGTAGCACACGTCTTGGTTCCATGTTTGTTTTTCTATGCTTAGTCATAATTATCATTCCATCTTCTAGTCTTAATGCCATAGTTCATTTTTTTTTATCTTGTCGTATATGTGTAAAGTTTAGTACTAGTCAAGTCAAGTCACCAAGTGATAATCTCAACTTATGCACTGACTGATATATAGTTTATATGACTATAAAACTTCAGGTAAACAGTATTTTATGGAAAGTAGGTAAACGTGAAATTTTTTGTTATTTGTTATTAAGTGGTTTTTTTACTCAAAATTGTATTGTTGAGTGATGATTGTCTTTAATTTATTGGATTAATTCATTCTCCTGATACTTCAGTATGAGCCAAACTTGAAGCGTAAGCGCTAATGATATACTACTCGGTTGCTGAAAATAGATTAGGTGGAGCAGAGCTGGAATCTGGTGCTTATTGACTGAATGTCGATCGCCTTAAGCATTAACCCATCACTCTGCGATGATTTTGTGATAGTTAAGTTAGCTGTGCTGTTAAAATATCTATCTTTTCTAGTGATAACATGTTGTCATTTGATGATGAAAGATCAATGCACTTAGTAAGTTACAGGTTTCAGCCCCACCCTTCTACTTCTGTTTGGACAACCAGATGGTACTATTGGCTATTATATTCAGAGTATGATTCAAAGTTAAGTATACACATTTGTATCTGATTGATTAGTGAATAAAATAAAAATGCAAAGAATTTTGTCAAATAGTCCAACATCAGGTAGCCTAGGTAGCCTTCATTTGTGAAGACGTTTCTGTATAATACTCTCAAACTTTCTCCTACGAAATTGTATACAGACTACTAGTCAACGAAGGTAGTATTTAGAAAAAAAAACATGATTAAATTATTGTTTCACTTCACTAACTTTTAACATTTATTTCCTTTTAATCAATGGCATTATCTGTATTTACTAACTACCACTTTAAAACACAATATTTAGACTCATAGAAATACTTCTAATTATCCGTGACTAATAATAATTTAGGTGAAGTAAAATTGTTTAAACCTACTGTCTGTTATGTGGTATAAATGTGCATGTACATGTCTAATCGAAATAACATATATATTGAACTTGTAAATATTTACTTAAGATACTATTCCTATGTATATGGGTATTCACCATCGGTATATTACCCCGAATGTATTGATCCGTTCTATTTTATGACAGTTTATATTTTCTTTTGCGCCTATTTTACCGTATAACCACCATATTGGATAAATGACTATTTATCTTATAGTTTATTGTCTTCAAGAAATTTCTAGGTCTTCATATTACACATCAATAAATAAATATCAGGGGCGTCTTTGTGTTTGTGTGTAGAAGAATGACCATCTTCCATATATTTGGTGAGATCATATATATATATATATATATATATATATATATATATATATATATATATATATATATATATATTGATGTATATTGTAGTTAGTAGTTCACTTGTTTTACATTTTCGTGATTAACATTATTTAGTCAGAACTTAAAACTAATTCTCCATTGATATGTTGTTATTCATGGTAAAATAAATAAGGCGGCCAGACCAAAACATGGCACAAATCCATTAGGTCACTGACAAGTAGACTGAACCACATTGGTAGATGTAGACTACCTGGTTGGGATCCGCGAGATGATAGCACTCGATGGTTAGCGATCTTGAATGACATGGCTCAAAATCGTTTGCAATGGAGCAGGTACATCCACTCTTTACGTTCTCCCTAATTCTAATCTTCTCAATTCTTCCTGTACCTTCTTTTCTCTTTCTGAATTTATTTCACTGGATTATACCCATTGAATAACATCTTCAAACCCTAATCTTATTGATTACTGCTTATACTTTTACTACTTCTACCAATATGGGATTTGAATCGGCAACTGCATCTCTGTGCTAATGTGGTATGGCAACTTGAACTGATGTACATATGTATGAAGTTCTACGTTGTTTCGAAGATACCTATGATCGAATACTAGTAACCTACGAATATCCTCTACTCTTACCGGCCATGTTTCACTGCCATAAAGTAGGACGGGACGATCTGCGCAGTAAACACGTCCTTTGTTGATAGACGGATATCTCGCCTATGCCATAAATGACGCAAGTTGACAAAAGCTAGTCGAGCCTTCTGTATCCGTGCTGAGATTTTGTCACACACCAGACCACAAGGGTTGATGAGACTTCCAAGATAAGTGAAGCGGTCGACAAACTCAACTACTTCACTCCCTATCACTAGTTCGGGTGTCGATGTAACCCAATCCTGAAGCAACATTTTGCATTTCGAGGGAGAGAATCGCATCCCGAACATGCTTGCATTGTTGCTTAGAGTGGTCAGAAGACTCTGCATTTTGTCAGCATCTTCACCAAATAGAACTATGTCATCAGCATATTCTAGGTCAAAAAGTAAATCTCCCGGTAGTTCAAACCCTGAAAATGTTGATGAGGAAATTGTTATCTCTAAAAGCATGTCAACGGCAAAGTTGAACAAGAATGGAGAGAGTGGACAACCCTGACGAACACCACTTGAGGTAATCAATTCTGATGACAGTTCGCCATAAGCTCTCACTCTACCAATTGTGTTCGAGTAGAGAGCCTTTACAAGGTTAATGTACTTCTTTGGTACTCCTTTCAGTGACAAACACTGCCATAGAACCTCACGATCAACAGAGTCGAATGCCGCCTTAAGGTCGAGAAATACTACCATTGTGGGGCGTCTGAATGTGTGTCTGTGTTCTAGAACCTGACGTAGTGTGAATATCTGATCTATACAACCACGTTTAGGTCGAAAACAAGCCTGATTTTCTCTAGTCTACTCTTCACGAGCTTTGGTCAGGCGTCGAAGTATTATTGAAGCTAATATTTTATACACTATATTAGTCAAACTGATTCCTCTGTGATTGTCACAAGAGGACTTTTGTCCTTTCTTAACGACAGGCACAATCAGTGATTGAGACCAGTCAGATGGGATTACGTCCAGTTCCCAAATTCTACCTAAGACCTCGGTTAATCTCATTGCTAATACTGGACCACCATCCTTAAAAATCTCAGGAGTAAACCTGTCAGGGCCTGCTGCTCTCCCTTGTTTCAGATTTTTTATGGCTTTTTCAACTTCGTAAAGGGACGGAGGACCTACATTAACTTGCCATTCAGGTTGACTAGAGATCGTGGGAAACCGAAGTGTGGCTGAAGGCCAGTTGAACTGATCCCTAAAGTGTTCTGCCCATCGATCCAATCTCCTGGATTGAGAATGAATAATATGTCCATCTTTCTCTGAGATTGTTTCGCTAACGGTCGGTTTCCTAATTCCGGTTTCCTTAACGAGTCTGAACAATTGTCTGCTATTACCTATTGCCGCTGCCTTTTCCATCTCTCTTGCTTTCGCTACCCACCACTGTTCGCGATCATTGCGTAGACTTCTTGTCAGCTTGCGCTTAAGCTGACTCCGCTCTTCATTATGTTCAGAGCCAGGTGGAATGAGTTTCCGAGCAGTTAATACTGGACCACTATCCTTAAAAATCTCAGGAGTAAACTTGTCAGGGCCTGCTGCTCTTCGTTATGTTCAGAGACAGATGGAATGAGTTTTAGAGCATCTATCAGTGCGGTAGATGCTGCTAAGATCCAGTGTTTCTCCCTAACCTTGTGGTTTACCGTACTTGCAGATATCACTGCTGTTTCCACAGCTTTTCGGATATCATTCATGCTGCCTCGCGATGGGCATCACATACATGGCTGCCTAACTGTTTTCCTAGTTGTTCCTGAAATATACTCTTAGCTTGACTATCATTAAGTAGGCCCTAAGAGGTTTCCTTGCAGATCTTTCCTACGTCCAGTAAGACGCAAGCAAATACGCGCTCGCACTAGAGCATGATCTGAATCTAGCATGTGCTCCAGAATGAGCGACAGTCTTCTATCGACCCCCCTCGGTGGCTGATAGCGATGTGATCTATTTGGGTCCAACGTTGGGACGAATTAGGGGGTCGCCATGTTAAAAGATGTTTTTCCTTATGCTTAAAGTTAGTATTTGCAAGGAACAGGCGGTTATCTGAGCATAGCTGCAACAGACGGTCGCCATTATCTGTTCTTTGAGCCACGACACCATAAGATCCACCTAGGTGTCTTTCGCTATCGCTTAGTTTACCTACTTGAGCAATAAAGTCACCGGCCACCATTACTACATCAGAGCGCCTAGCTTTTCAGAGAAGGTCGGAAAGCTTTTTGTAAAACTCATCTTTTACATCATCTGAGCTGCAGTCAGTGGGAGAATAGGCAGAAACGATGAAGAGGCAACGACGAGTGTCCCTATCTTTCCGGATTCTTACTGTTCCGTTCAGTCGGACAGCGCACAAACGACTGTCTACTGGGATCCAGTCTAAGAGAGCTAGTTCTGCCCTAGGACTCAATGCTATACCTACGCCGGCGAGGCCACGGGAAGCAGAATCAGGGCTTCCAGATACACGAAGCGTAAATCGAGTCGGTTCTTTATTTTGGCATGGTGAGGTCAAATGAATGACGCTACTGGATCCTGTATGCGCGTTTCGGAGACGCAGCACACATCGATGGCGCGAGATTCTAAAGTTTTAGCTAAGGAAGCCTGCTGTCCTATTTGGCAAAGTGTTCGTACGTTAAAAGCTCCTACGTGTAGTTTAGAGCGTGGTTTCAGGAGACCAGGAATAGCGTTCCACGTACTCGAATCGTTTGCCCTAGCGGTGCGAGGTGATAAAGAGACGCGAGGAGTGTTAGTCATGGAGATAAGAGAGGTATTAAGAGGTGTCGGAAGGATTTGAATGTGACCAACTTGGTCTCGTGTGCTGTTACGGGTATGAGGGCTGATGTCACTTCCCGGCTGCCCACACCGTGGAAGGGTATTTCTTGAGGAACCTGAAAAGGAAATTGGATTAGCGTTGGTCTTGACGACCTGGGAGCGTGACCGCAGAGCCCAAGGAACAACTGCTTGAGGCCGGTCGCGCACGGCCTTTTTGTGGAAGGTTTTCAATGTGTTAGCTCCGTTCTTCAAAGGGCCTTACCGCCGGAGACGGAAATCCGTAAGGTAAGGTGAGGTGTGACATTTTTAGGGTTGACCTTTTCTAACCCCACCCCTCCTTGTGGGAAGGCAGCATCGCTGTCATGCTGGTTGTCCGAGGGAAACACCTTACTGCTGTCACACCTCTCTACAGTCAGCAACGACTTCGCCCTCAGACCTTGAGTTGCTGCTTTTAGTCTTACCGTTCTCCAATCGACCTGCCTGGCATGGTAGAACCTACAGGAACATATGTTCCAGCCAATATAGCTCGGTTGGGTCATCACGATAGGCAAGCCCGACCACCGCGTCAAGGTAGCGTAATTCTTGTTAGTTCCTCAACATATTTCCTGGGACTAATTTATCTCGAATGACCTGTCTTAAATGAGTGATGAATGCCTACTCATAGCTTGCTTTATTCTGTTATGATACGAGTGAACCGATGTTAATTTTTAGACAGTAAATGCAAATTTATTCATAACTTTGATTAACCAATGATCATTTGTGCTGTCTTCACTAGTGGATTGAAAATTTCTGTCGTGTTAAATATCGATATTAGCCGGGTGACTTCGAACTAGTTTCCCAATATGTAAGTGCTATTTGTCACTGATCGACATCAGTTGGGGTTCCTTTTTAGAAGGAAGATGCACTAGATTGCTGTTTCACTCCAGTTTGGAACTTATCAACAATGAATACCCACAACCTCTAGGGATCAAATCTAGGATCATATGGTCTCTTGAAACATTCCTAGAATTTATAGAACTGAGCTGAATAATTGTTGTTTTGTAACACAAAATAACGGAAGTCGGAGATGTAGACCATTAGATTGAAGCAAAGTAATTCAAAAGCATCAAGGTCACCACAAAACCTGAAGGTCTTGAATTCGGCCCCTAAAGGATTCATGGATATGCAGCGCTGAAGAAGCTTAGATTACAAGAAAGCACCTACCTAATATTCCATGATTTTCACTGACACACCAGCTGATATCGATCCATCCCATAAACCATCTCAACCAAAGTATGGCTCCCAGTTGTTACTTCCTTATCTTCTACTGTTTAATGTAACACATATTTTTTTTAACTCGGTTAAATTTCTGGCTATTTGTTTAATATTGCAAATAATTAAGCTTAAAAAAGTGACTTTGAACAATGTTTGAATATGAATCAATAGTATATAACATCAATTCATTGTTCCCTATCTTATTTGAAATCCTCTTGTCACTTTTGACATTTCGGTTAATTTTCCAATCGATTTTTATTTATTGACTTATAAATACAAAAACTAGACACAATAGGTCATTGAATGAATGTTTAACACAGAATGGATCTGTCGATCGATATTCACTGTGAATGAATTACTATGCATTACTATATTTGTTTACTCTTATATTAAATTATAAAATTTAGCAGTACTCTGTGGAACGTGGCCGATAAGTGTAGAGGATATTCGTAGGTTACTAGTATTCAGTCATAGGTGTCTTCAAAGCGTTGCTCGTATATCCTGGGACCACCGATTAAGTAATGCAGTTGTTAGGAAACGGGTACTAAGTAAGGATGGCAAATCAATTGATGAAGTAGTGAAACTTGATCAGTTGAGATGTCTCGGACACGTTTTACGTATGCCCAACCATGGACTGCCCCGACGTGCGATGTTTTATGGTGTAGGAGTAGGTTGTAAGAAGGCTAGGGACGTCCAGACCAAAACATGGCACAAATCCATTAGGTCACTGACAAGTAGACTGAACCATATTGGTAGATGTAGACTACCTGGTTGGGGACCGCGAGATGATAGCAACCGATGGTTAGAGACCCTGAATGACATGGCTCAAAATCGTTTGCAATGGGGCAGGTACATCCACTCTTTACGTTCTCCCTAATTCTAATCTTCTCAATTCTTCCTGTACCTTCTTTTCTCTTTCTGAATTTATTTCACTGGATTATACCCATTGAATAACATCTTCAAACCCTAATCTTACTGATTACTGCTTATACTTTTACTACTTCTACCAATATGGGATTTGAATCGGCAACTGAATCTCTGTGCTAATGTGGTATGGCAACTTGAACTGATGTACATATGTATGAAGTTCTACGTTGTTACTGACTGACTGACTGACTCTGTGATATCCACAGTTCATTGGGCGAAAGCTAATAAGCAACACTTCTCTTCCACGGTTTTTGTACATGTATTTCGATCCGTGTTGCTTGCCTAAATTATTTTTTTGTCGCTATCAGTAAACCCACCTTCAGAGAATTGTCTTTTGACGTATTTCGGGCTAGAGTTGAAAAGAAATCTGTAGCATTCAAGTGTTGAAGTGAAGCTAGAAGTTATTTCTGTTGGTTCAAGATACATCATTAAAATGAAATATCTATCATAACATTTAATTGTGAGAGTTTGAATCTTCTCATTATTGATATTAGGGAGTACTATTGATCAGTTTATTTGAACGTGTAGGCATCTTGAAAGGATTGCCTGAATACTACAATTCAGTTACATCCATTTCTAATCATAGATCAATATTAGCTAGTAATAGAATAAAAAATTCACGTTTTATCCTATTCGGTGCTTGTCATCCGGATGTACACACATCACACTGGTGGTGTTTTAAAATTATCTTATTACCATTTTATCTTGTAAGTTCTTTCTTCCTTTAGTCATCATATCGTCCATGAATAATCTTTTCCATTACCGGTGATACTTTTATTACTCTACAATTAGTCCTGATAATTTCATATTTCTAGAAGTTTAAATCGATATGTGGTGTATGCTACTTATATTGACAGATATAAGTAGTATGTAACACCAATCTGAAGTAGAATGTCTAACAGTAGAAGATTGAAAAGATCGAATTGAGGAGAACAAGAATGTAAACAAAGTATAATTGTGTAGTAACAACTGGGAATGATAAAAACAATGAAGTACGTTAGAGACAACTGATACAAGATATACAAATGAAGTATTTAATATATGGTTTTCATATTTTATGAAGTCACTCTGTAATTTTACATTAAACAATAAATTGGTTATACCCATCTGAGTTGATCATTCACCACAAATGTATATCTATGAGAGATTTTACATAGCATATATCTGACGAAGTTATTGATGACAACAATTGGTAATGTCATTTAACCTTTCTTCTTCTTATTGTTATTTATTTATTTAACAACAGAGCCACAAGTTTATTATGGACAACACCTATTAATAATGATCATTTAGACATTGGTTTACTTATAATTGGTTCAATGTCAGGTAGTTTATATTTATATGATAGTCAAAAACTAATATCTATGAGTCAAAATAGAACATCTTCACAGATTACTACTAATACTATTCATAAACCATATCATATTAATACCATCGATACTATTATTGAGAATAATGAAAATGATAATTCTATAATGTCATCTTGTCAACAATTATCATCTATTTATATTACTGAAAATAATATGTCAAATTATCTGTATACATCACGTGAAAATATTCATAATAATGTTGTAAGAAGTTTGGATTTCAATCGATTTCAAGTTAGTAAATTTCTTTAGAATATTAATTGAGATCATGAACTGATCTAAGTTGGACTATCATTGAAAACCTGGAATTACTGAACGGCTGTTTTGTTTTGGTTTTGGATTCTTCAGCAGTGCGCATCTACGATGCCTGCATGTGGGATTCGGAATCAGGATTTTCGGTCTTGCACACCGTTGAGGAGTTTCATACTAGGACGAAACAGATGTTTATTGCTTCAAGGTTTTCAATGCTGGTCTAACATTGATTGACTCATGATCTCAATTATTTATTTATTTGAATACATAACTATTGGTACAAGGGAGCACCAGATACATATGCACCACACAAATATTATTTGATTTTTGTGAGGGCTCTGATACCGCCCGGGTGCCTAAACTGAGGCAGGTGGTTTCCCTAGTGGGGGCATAACCCTGTACTGATGATGTATAAATCTGTTTATTTCTTTACTTATGAGAAAGGGTTTTGTGGAGATTTTAGTAATCTCAATAGTTGAATACTGTTTGAGTAAACACAGTTAAACCCTTATAATAATCATTTGCTCACTAGTGACTGACTTCAAGAGGCAGTTCCTGGAGTTCTAGTGAAAAGCCGTTACCAGTGGAGTTCAACCAGGTCTGTTGTTAGATATCAGCTCACTGAGGACAATGCTGTACGGTAGCGCAATTCCATGGATTGGTTGAAGTTAGACATTAACACCGTCGTATACCGGCTCAGTGGTCTAATGGTTAAGCCCTCGCTCGCGAGATAGGTCCTGGTTTCGAATCTCTCGGGGGGTGGGGTCGTGGATGCTCGCTGCTGAAGAGTCTCATACTGGGACGAAACGGCTACCCAGTGCTTCCATGTTTTCCATGGTGGTCTAGCTTCAATTGACTCATGATTTCAACTAGTAAATTAATACTTGTTAATTGTTGATGTGATTCGATACTTATTGGGTTGCTTTTATTCATCTACATTAAACGCATGAAAGTTTCATCAGAATAATAAGCGCAGTTACATATTTGATTCACCGATTCGTCATATTATGCTCGTGCTTATTTTAAGTTTGTTTTTGTTTTGCAGTTAAGTTGATAATATATCTATAAGTTGCGTTACATTTAATTTATATTACTTTTTAATAGTGAATAATTGTAATAAGTAGTAAGTAGTAGTGATAGTATTGAGTGTGGTGTGCAAATTAGTGATTATCAAATCTGTTCAATATCATACTCTATTAGTCATAGATGCATCAACACTCAAGCAACAAATAACACCATACTCATTGTAATGACCCGATTGAGCTATATTGGCTGGAGCAATTGTTCCTTTGGGTTCTGCCATGTCAGATAGGTGGGTTGGCGAACAGTAGAATTAAAACAGAAAACTCATGGGCCGAAAAGTAAGTCGTTCTGATGACTGTACTGAGATGTTACAGCGATAAAATAATTCTCTCGGCCAATCAGCATTTGCAGCGATGCAGTCTTTTCATAACGGAAATAGTAGATTAAGATTGATTGGCCTGAAAAATGTCACATCTAAACCCACCTCACGGATTCCGGTCTCTGGAGGCCTTTTGAAGCATAGAGTTATCATACTTCAAACTTCTGACAGAAAGGTCGTATGTGACTGGCCTTCAGCAGTTTTTGCCTAGACTCTGTGGTCACCTCCCAAGATCTGTACGGTGACTAGTAATCCAGTTTCTTTTCCAGGTCTCGCGAGAAGAAATATACCGTCAAGGCTTGAGCAACCGAGAAGTAACAGCCGCCCCCATACCTTTAACAGTACCAGAGATCCTCTTGTTCATAATGAAATTGCTCTTACTATATTTTTGGATTTCACGAATTTTGTAGTTTTAGGATTTATAGTGCATATATAGAATGTCGATCATTGATGGAAGTGCAATGATGTTATGTAATCTGCTGATGGTTGCTCACAAGATGGAATCAGTGACACAACACCTCAAATCAACAGGTGTTAAAGGCAAGACCACTGGCCAACAGAATTGGGGTTCCTTTCTCCAGCAAAATAATATGTTTATTTAAAAATTATCGGGCGCTAAAGTAAACATAATTAGATATCATGTACGATTAAAGGATGTGTTGTTTTGTCGATCAATCACCCACTATTCAAGGTGAATTAAGATCTCGGTTTTAGACGTAATTTTTGCATCCAACATATTGCTTCTTCTAATGGATATATTTCTACTGAAGTTGAAAGATGCTTGTAGAATATGGTGAGTCGATTGAAATTAGACATGTAATCTATTGGATACCGGCTCATTGGACTAAAAGTTCATCACTTTCATCGAGGTCGTAATGTTTTGAGTTTGAACTGCATTGGGTTCGTGGGTTACACATTGTCGAACTGAGGTGTCTCATACTTGGGTAGAACGATTATCCAGTACTTCCAGATTTTCAATTATTATCTAGTTAGCATTAATCTGTGATGTAAAGTATTCATTTTCTTTCTATCGTATTTTTTCCCATTCTTCTCTTGTAACAGACAAATCTTTTTGCTTCAGCATCAAACGATGAAGAAATATTTATTTGGGATGTTGGAAAAATGGAACATCCAATGTCGCCTGGTTCAAAAATACAAGTAAGTAGGTTTTATTTGATCAGAAATAGTTAGTGATAGAAGTGTGGAATTTAATGCTTCTTGATGAAAATCGTTCTTTTTTCTTCATCATTACTTTACATATTGAATGAAGTGTTACCTGATAAAACTATGTATGTGTATGCATGTATGTAACGGAGGGAACTGTCGATTCCTATCTTACATTTTTAACCAAATTGTAAGTGCTTTCAGTCACGTTAGGCACATGAAAATGAAAATTCATCTTTATGAAATAAAAATAACACTTATGTAAGTGGTTTTCTGAGAGGGAGTAGGTTAACATTCCAAACATGTTTATTAATGTCTCTTCATTTAGGTAACTTTATATGTTATATTATTAGGCACAATTAATCAAGTAATCGAAAGGATAGTCATAAATTAGCTTACATAAATAATCATTATTATGAACTGTTAACAGGTCACAGCTTAACGTATCATCAAATTGTGTTAGACTCGTTGCGGTTGTAGACTTAGGTCAATCGATTTCTATTCTATTAAGCTCTAAATATATCAGTGACATATAAGATGTTTTTATCTTCTCTGTTAACATATCGGAATTTTTAACGTTTACTTAACGATATTCTATCATTCAATATTGTAGTGTATAACTAGTAGCTATTAACTTACCGCTGTTTTGATGGAGTTTTGTTCTCTGAGCTGGATGGTTTGGTCGTGGAGCTTTTATCGTTCTTCTTCTTCATGGCGTTTGACGCCATGATATTTCCTCACTTATATCAATACACGTGGACAACTGAGGACACTCATTCGATTGGAAAAATGCGGAAATCTTGGACAGAGGAAATTCTAAAAACACTAGCGAATTTTTAGAAGCCTGGTACTCAGGTCAATCAGCAATCAACAAGCACATTGAAATCGATCCAATTTATCAACCAATCAGGAAAATTATGCACAAATATAGGAATAAAAATCAAACCAATGGTTGACACGACCAAAACAAAGAAGTAAACAATGACAAACTGAAAGTCAATAAGAACCAATCAACATCGAGGTGTACAGAACAAGCTGTGAAACGCATATCGGGAAATTCGAACACTTCACTTCTATCTGAAGTTTGTGCTGATGATGTCGTTCAGAAGAACGATGAAAGCTCCACGACCAAACCATCCAGCTCAGAGAACAAAACTCGATCAAAAACATCCACCTGAGTTACAAATCTTCTCCACTTACGGCTGTCCAACTAACCCGTTTGAAATTGTAAAACCTAAAGTAACAAGTGTTCCAGCCAATATAGATCTATTACGTGGTCAAAATATGCAACCTTAACAACACATCATGGTAAGAGTTATGACTGGTAAAGTAGTATGTTAGTCCTCAAGGTTATACAATGCGAGGTTTATCCGTGGACCAGGTTGACGAAGCTTATCGTGCTCATCAAAGGGGGAAAAATACAGGCGATTGGCTAAGAAATGGCCAATCAGCGCTAATTAGAGAAGATTTGGGAATCTTCTCGTGTAAGATTATAAATATACTAACGTTCTTCTTATTGTGGTTCTTCCTTCCATTCTACTTTGTTTATTTAGAATGTAATTACTTTCCTATTCAATCATGTTCTGATTTGGGAACTAGTTGAGTGAAGTGTTCGACGAATACTAAGCAATAAGAGTAGCTGGGTCATCGTAATAAAAGAGTTTATAACAAGCCAAGAAGTGATAATGACTTCATTTAGTGTCAGTATTTATTATTATCCCTTATACTTAATTCGAGAATAAAATCCTTGTTTTTTTAAAAAAAAACTGAAAAAAAAGCCTTTAGAAAATGTAAATCAAGTTGCATGGAATCCGCGTGTTCAACACATATTATGCTCAACTAGCATTGGTCGTTGTGTTATATGGGATTTACGTAAAAGTGGACCAGTTTTACAACTTACTAAAACAATGTGTCAAGTGAGTTCATTATCTTCTTCTTATGATTTCATTCTTGTTGGTTGTATTAGATAATAGTTGTATATGAACTGTAATTTCTCAACACTTAAAAATACAATCTACACCATGTTTTATTCACAAAAAAGAAGCTCAACATTTAAGTGAATTTCTGCTACAAATCAAGTTAAACTGTTGAATAATATGGTTTACGTAAAGTTTATTTGTGTATTTGTAAGATCGCTGACCCCTACTCGTTTCATCGTACCTAAAGGGAGTGAAACATGATCTTTAAGAATAGAGGATATTCAAAGGTTACTAATATTCAACCATAAGTGTCTTCGAAGCACCATTCGTGCATTTTGGGACCATCAAGTGAAGAAGGCTGAGTTTATGGTTTAGGTATTGAGTAAGGATAGTGAATTAATTGATAAGATATTAAATCTTCTTCAACTGAGGTGATTGGGCATACGTAACACACGCCCCAACCACCACGTACATTGATGAGCGATGTTGTGTGATGTCGGAGTAGTCTAGAAGAAAGCTGATGGCGGCCAAACCAAATCATGAAGTTACTGATTATTGGATCTGGCCGTGTTAATAGGTGTAGACCACCTGGTTTGTGTCCACGCGATAATCGTAACCAATAATCAGAGACTCTGAATGACATGGCTCAAAAGCGTTTGCAGTGTCGCAGATGCATCCATTCGTTATCTTCCCTCAAATTCTGAGCTTATGAATTTTTCACAACTTGTGCGTTTTTATTTCATCAATTTATATTTTGCTTGCGAATCGTATCTTCGATGGTTTATCTTTCCAATCACCATTCACACTGCTACTACCTCTATTATTCAGGGATTTGGCCTGATAATTTTATCTCTCTGTGCTAATGGAGTATGAAAACTTAAACCGATGTGCATACGTACCAGGTTTTACGTTGTGATTGACTGACTGAATTTCATAATATGAACTGTTATAACTCTCTTTTTCTTACGGTTAATGACCCAGCTATTCCTGTTGCTTAGTATTCTCGGACACCGATTCACTCGACAAGTCCCCAAATCAGAACACGGTTGAACAGGAAAAAGATTATATTCCAAATAGCAAGTTAGAAGCCAGTAGGAAGCACAATAGGGGAAAACGTCGGTATATTTATAGTTTTTACATAAGAAGATTCCAGAGTATTCTCCGACTATCGACTAGTGCTGTTTGGATAAGAATCAGCTAATCAGCGTGCACCAAAACAATCATGCATTGAGCATGCTTTGATCTAGTCTATGTCCCGCTAACACCTCCCCTCTGAGCAGATTCGTAGCATCTGGTGCTAGGGTCCAACTGCAACTGAGTGACTGGCTTGTGCTTTCGATTAGTCCATCGTCTAGGCAATGAAGAATTATCACTTTTTCCTTGCACAGAGACTGACATGTCTGTTCCCGGCGTTTTGATTTTTCTTAAAAAAAAGTATGCATAACTTTTAATTCTCCAACATTCTCCTCCTCCTCGAAATAATGTTGGGTCCTTATGGCTCCAAATTACAACTAGTAGGACTTTATTTAAACCATGTTTCTCGTATTGACTGGAGAATCCACTAAAAATGACTAGATGATGATGAACAACCTTTGATCTGAGTTCATTATTTTCAAATTCATTATGAATCTCGTTAGCAGATAACGAGTCATTAAGAAAGTCAACGTCTAACAGAATTAGATTAGATTTTTGGCCATCATTCGACTCAGCTGACATATTTCCCTCATTGTTATAAGAAGGTTCATCAAAATCATATGCATTATTCTGAGAATCAATATCTGGTACACTGTCATTAGAAATGGGATAAGTTGACTCAATATAAAATTCTGTCTTCCGGTGATTTTGAGTAACATCTGGTACAATTTGGTTCATCGTGTTGCTCCAGTTATTTTCTGAATACGAGTCACCATAGCTTTCTCGACTAATAGCACGTGGACCACAATTTTGTTCGAGCTGACGTTTATTTTCGCAGCTAGACAGTACCAGTAGTGTTTCATTTGATTCTGGACTCTGGGCATCATCTACAGGATCTGGCTCCTGATCATCTGGTATTGTCACAACTTCATGTGCATTCAGCACAGTATTTTCTTGCTGTGAGCCGGAAACGTTACAAATATTACGTTCTGATTCAGGTATAAAGGGATTTGAACCCTCCACTAGATATGCTTCTGAAATGTCTGTTACTGCATCATAAACAGATTTCTTATTTTCTGGTCGAGTGAAAAGTGTGTTCAATAGTTGTTGTTGCAAGGCTAACAACTTCTTCTGGTGCTGTAATATTAACCGCAACTGTTCTAAAGAAATCGCCATTTTTCTTTAGTTTTTCCCCGTCGCCACTGTTATAACTCTGTTTCTTCTTACGGGTTATAACAGTGGCGACGGGGAAAAACTAAAGAAAAATGGCGATTTCTTTAGAACAGTTGCGGTTAATATTACAGCACCAGAAGAAGTTGTTAGCCTTGCAACAACAACTATTGAACACACTTTTCACTCGACCAGAAAATAAGAAATCTGTTTATGATGCAGTAACAGACATTTCAGAAGCATATCTAGTGGAGGGTTCAAATCCCTTTATACCTGAATCAGAACGTAATATTTGTAACGTTTCCGGCTCACAGCAAGAAAATACTGTGCTGAATGCACATGAAGTTGTGACAATACCAGATGATCAGGAGCCAGATCCTGTAGATGATGCCCAGAGTCCAGAATCAAATGAAACACTACTGGTACTGTCTAGCTGCGAAAATAAACGTCAGCTCGAACAAAATTGTGGTCCACGTGCTATTAGTCGAGAAAGCTATGGTGACTCGTATTCAGAAAATAACTGGAGCAACACGATGAACCAAATTGTACCAGATGTTACTCAAAATCACCGGAAGACAGAATTTTATATTGAGTCAACTTATCCCATTTCTAATGACAGTGTACCAGATATTGATTCTCAGAATAATGCATATGATTTTGATGAACCTTCTTATAACAATGAGGGAAATATGTCAGCTGAGTCGAATGATGGCCAAAAATCTAATCTAATTCTGTTAGACGTTGACTTTCTTAATGACTCGTTATCTGCTAACGAGATTCATAATGAATTTGAAAATAATGAACTCAGATCAAAGGTTGTTCATCATCATCTAGTCATTTTTAGTGGATTCTCCAGTCAATACGAGAAACATGGTTTAAATAAAGTCCTACTAGTTGTAATTTGGAGCCATAAGGACCCAACATTATTTCGAGGAGGAGGAGAATGTTGGAGAATTAAAAGTTATGCATACCTTTTTTTTTGAACAGGAAAAAAGATTATATTCCAAATAGCAAGTCAGAAGCCAGTAGGAAGCACAATAGGGGAAAACGTCGGTATATTTATAGTTTTTACATAAGAAGATTCCAGAGTATTCTCCGACTATCGACTAGTGCTGTTTGGATAAGAATCAGCTAATCAGCGTGCACCAAAACAATCATGCATTGAGCATGCTTTGATCTAGTCTTTGTCCCGCTAACATGAACCATAAGATTAAATTTTATCAGGTTGATCTAACTAGGGCGGCCTGCTTGAGCATCTGGGCTACCTGTTCCTGCCATCTAGATATTTCAACAAGTTATCTATTGTTGTTTGTTTTAATATATCATTATGTTTATTAATCGCATAACCTATTCTGCTGCGTTTCTGAAAAGTGTACAACCTTTCGTTGTCAAAGTTACAGAAAACTCAATAAGAGACAATATGGTTGCTGGCAATGTACAACGAAAAGAATGCACATTTTTCAGTTGTTCATTCACTGAAGTGCTAACATCTAACTGGCGTTTCCTCAATATTTATCGCCAGGACCGACCAAGAAGAAAGAAACGGAAACTTGTTGAAATACTTTGAGCTGAGAATTCTATATTGTACCAAAATTATAATATTGAATGAAGCTAATAATAATATAATATAATATAATAATAATATAACTTTCGTGTTGATCGCAAAACTCAAAACTCTTGGAATTCGATATTATGTGCGTTTGTGAGCGTACACTTCTAAAGATTGCCGAATATAAATTGAAACTTTAAAGCTGAGTTACGCATATCCGAACCCCTCATGAAGCATCATTTTTCACGATTGCAAGTGTACCTTGGCGATGAAAGGTGATTAGGACGGAACTTATGCGTATGACATCCTGTCAACTGCCACCAACTATTAAATATGGGACCTGATTTAATTAAAATAATTTACTAAATAATATTCAGAGCTGCATTGCAAGGCGATTTTTAACTGTAATTTACGTAGAACTTCAATGAAATGAGTCAGAAATCTTTTGTTGAATAGTCCATTTTTTTTCACTTCAGTCAATCAGCTACAGAGTAGGACCAGGTACATATATGCATCGGTCCAAGTCGCCATAACGCATTAGCACAACAAGATTGATAGAAGTAGTTAATTCAGTGGTGGTGATATTTAAAGGGAAGATTTTATATCAGGATATAGTACAGGAAGAAATAATTAATTCGAAGAAAGAAAGATATGATGTGATTTTAATCTCATAGTTTAAGGGAAGACAAAGAGTGCATAAACCTAAACCAACGTGATCGACTCTGAGCCATGTCACACAGTCTCCAACCATTGGTTACGATAGTCACGCGGACCCCAACCGAGTAGTTTGCATCTCCCAACATGGCTCAAACTAGAAGTTACTGACTTCAAGCACTGATGCCACGTTTTGGTTTGACCGCCCCTAACTTTCTTCCAACCATTCCAGACACTAGTCAGCATCGCGCGTCGTGGTAATCGGTGTTCAGGCATACGTAACACGTGGCCCAACCATCTCAGTCGATGAAGATTCATAACCTCATCAACTGATTTACCATTATTCCGTAATACCCTGCGTCTAACCTCACTGTTACACTTGTTTTCCTTTTTAAATTTACAGTTAGAACCACAAATGATGGCATGGAGTCCGGATGTTGCAACTCGTTTGTGTATAGCTGATCCAAATAATCCAAATGCTAATGTTCAATTATGGGATCTTCGTTATCCAAAACATATGCTTTGTTTATTAAGTCATTGGCCACCATTATTATCATCTAATTTGAAAACAACTAACCCATTAAATAATTATGCATTAGGGAATGCAGGTACAGTAAATTCATTATGTTGGGGTATACCAGAATGTCAAAAATCAATGAATAAATCAAATTTCTATGATAAAGATATGATTGTTATGACAATTGGTGCTTCTGGTGCATTACCAACATTAAACGGTAATTATGGTACAAAATTAAATCCAACTTATGCTGAAATGTTGGTTGTTTGGAGTGTTAATCAAGCATTAAACTCTACACCGGATAATGTAACATGTCAAGAAGGTTTGTGTTTTTGTTACTACTTAATCAATATAATCAATTTTAATGAAATTTTTTCTATTATAATTGTTATTTTACGCACTTCATTTTTCTGTTATTTTTTGAATTAATTACCATAGTTACAAGTATTTAAAATCATTGCATATGGAAACCAATCTCTATAGTTCATTCTTTTTCAAGAATTCATGTACTCAAACGATTTTTCTCTCGATAATTGATTCATCGATGATCATCCAATCAATGATTAGGGGAGTGGAAAACAAGTACTAGAAATAACTATATAAATTACGTTTGGTGTCTTTTTAATACATGATGTCGACATGATGTTCTTCTGGCCTATCACGACCCTTATCGATAAGTTAGAAACACTTGAAAAGATATATTTTCCACAATTTAATTAGGGTTGTATGTGATAGTTGTGAAGTATTAACGTCATGATTAAAGTATTCTCTTTTGAATTCATGAATTACATGTACCAACCATATTGTATCTAATTTCATTTAGGTATCATTTAGATCCCTAAGATCTTATATAGATAAACCTAAGACATAAAGGCGGGATCGTGGATGCGCACTGCCGAGGAGTCCCATACTAAAATGAAACGGCCGTCCAGTGCTTCCAGGCTTTCCATGGTAGTCTAGCTTCAATTGACTCATGAATTCAACTAATAAAATAAAACAATATGTTTTGTATCAAATTGGATCCTATGACTATATGCTATATGCATGTGAATCCGTCCGTTTATTGTTCCTATTATACCCGGGCAGTATCCCAGCCTTCACATAAATTGAATGATTTATGTTGAGTAACATTAATCATGGAAAAGACGGAATATTGAGAATATGGTTCTAAAAGGTATAGTGAAAAGGTATTCATGGGAGGATATTGTAATTCAAGGTCGAAAGAAAATAAAGAGTGAGTACATCTGCTTCATTGTGAATGATTTTGAATCAGGTTACCCAGTGTCTCCAACTGCTCATCATGGTTATCGTGTGGACCCCAATCATGTAGTCTGCTTCTATCGAAATAGTTCAAAACAAACAGTCAATGTAATGATAGACTGGTACTACGTTTTGGTTTGACTGACTCTAGCTTTTCATAGCAAACATCTAGCGACTCTTAAATAGGGTTAGTGGATACAGGAGATTTACTTATTGGAGTTGGAGAACCCTGATTCTAGACTAATGGTGCACATGAGCTCCAGTATCTTGAAAGACCGAATGGTTTATGAAACTATTTCGGTCACCGACTACCGTAATACAACATCTAATGTCACTCTACTGTATTGTGTATTAGATCTCCAGGTTATAATCTCATGAAATGACCGCCTGTTTAAGTTTGAGTGCTCAGATCTCTCAAAAAAATATGTGTTCGTTGATTCACTTAACGTTATCCATTTAGAGACTGATCAATTACAGTCCTAAACAATAGTGGGACGATTCAAACAATCAATATATATATATATATATATATATATATATAATATATATATATATATATATATATATAGAGAGAGAGAGAGAGAGAGAGAGAGAGATCGAAATCTTCGTGTGCAAGCCAATCGTCATCTGAACTCAGTAGCTAAGTGGATAATGCGATGTCGTCTGAAACGAATGGTACTGGTTTCAAGTCCCGAAGTGAACATCACATCTGGGAAGAAGACACATCCATCTGACGAGTCTCAAATAGGACGAAATATGCATTATAGATTCCACTATTAACATCTTTTTATCTCTGCTTAAATTGCTTAGCGTTAATGTCAATATCAATGCAGTTTGTACAGGATACACATCCGCCAAAAGTAACCGATCAATCACAGCCCCTAAACATTAACCGGGATAATTCAAACAACAAATACATATATAACTATTACTGTATATTAGAGTAGTAAAGCTTGATGAAGATCTAATTAAAGAAAAAAAGATAATCAATATTGTTCGCTTATACATGTATACGATTTTAATTGTAAAAAACGTTTTCCTCCCACAAATAGTTACAGTTTATTTTATTCTTTTCTTTTCTTTTCTTCTTTCAATGATTAGCTATACCGGAACCAATATTTATTGGTCGTTTAGAAGGTTTAGATGATCAAGAATTAGTTAATCCATTATTATGTTTTAATACATTACCAACAAATGCTTCTGTTCAATGGATACCAAATCATCCTAATTTAATATGTGTTACACAATCAGATGGTTGGATAACAGTATATAATTTAATAAGTGGTATCAATAAACAAATTGAACAAATAAACATTGAACGATATAATAAACAATGTATATTAGCTAGAAATTCATTAAATTTACGTAATTCACATAAAGTAGCTGAAGTATTTCATAATGAACAATTATTAATGGATTATAATAATACTGATAATACTGATAATAATAATAATAATAATGATAATCTTCAATCAGATTCATTATATCCTGTATTTATGAATGATCCGAATGTGAATAGTATTGATAAAGAACAAATCAATTCAGGATCAGATCAGTTATTATTAGATAATCCTAATTCTATGGATTCAGTAAATCTTTCATTACTTCAAGTAAATAGAATTGTATATATTGTATTATTATTTCTATTTCTATTCTCTGATAATAATAATTAAGATCATAATGTTTTGTATTTATCAGAAAGAATCATATTTATTCAATGTAAAGGGTTTATTTATTTAATCACAATTAACCGAACAGAACATAGACGACTGTTAATGAGGATCCACTGTAATAGTGTTTGTTCCACCCTCGTACTTAGTACTATGCCTATACCTGGCAATTCATGAGAACTAGACATTAGGTCGCCAGATACACGGAGGGTAACAATTTCTGCAATGTGTGTTGTATATACCTTCAGTGTTTTTTCCTAATTTCCACTTTAGCTGGAAGTTGGTTTGTTCTCTGTCAGAGTAGGTTGTTGTCGTTGGTATCCGGCCGACGAACATTGAGTATTTTGCATAGATGATTGCTTTTAAATACCTGTACTTTTTTTTGTGATGGTTATAATGTAGTGGACACTACCCACATGATTGTAAGTGGTTTGTAGCGGAACGTGACGTCGAAGTTACTATAACTGTCAGACGGAATGAAGATTTTCGGTGCATCGAAAGCACAGCGTTGTCAAAACACTTGGAGACCAAACGAGATGATAGTTCATATTGGCAGAATACAGTAAGAGATCCAAATGGACGGCTGAAGGTTATACATATGTATTCTGTAAATACTTTGTAAATTCTCTCAATGAATACACATTCCCCCTGCTTACGGTCACGTTTTACAGTTTTAGTTCTCGAAGTTTCTGTTACGTACAGTAGAGCTGTCTTGACGCTCGTATTAAAGATTCTGAATTTGATGTTGGCTGACAATTGTTTTGCGATGCATATGCTTTTCAACTGTGGGAATGCGGCCCTTGCTTTGCCAATCCGTCCCTTCATATCTTGCACATAGTAGTAATTTATAATGAAAAAAAATGGAAAGTTGTACCATTATTAAGAAAGTTACCATTTGCTTATGGAAACTTTAAGTGTTAAACAGTAGTATTTTCCCACTTGACAGCGATGAAGAAGCGACAAATGCATATCGAAAATAATTTCTAAATTTAAAACTATGGAAGAGGGGAGTTAAGGTCATGATAAAATAAGTGATCTGACATCATTCCTGAACAAAAAGACGGGATTTAGGATTAGAATTGATTGATCACTGCGTAGTGACGAATATCTTATGTGTTAGCAAGATGTACTTGTAATCATCAGGGTAACGATACTCCTTGGCTGATTTGACCCCTTATTACCAAGCTTTACAGCCGCAGACGTTACCACTGAGCTGTCCGGGCCAGAACTGACTTCATGTAGGACTGAATACTGACTGGTATCCCGTATGTCAAGTCCCTCTCACTGCTAATCGAATTTTTCAGAGAGCAGGTACACCTTTCTAAGCAGTACCAAACAGTACGAAACCTAATTCCAGTATATACTGTCAACTACCTACAATCACCATGTTACCATGTTCAAATCGATGAACTACCAGTGCTTCTTCAATGGATAAATCTATTATCATACCAGTTTGCTTAACTTAAGCATGATATATTATCATTGTAAGTGTTATTGCCACCAAACATTGAATTATTTATAATTTTTAAAAGTTTGTTACATTATTGCATTCGTTCCTTTTTACGTTTTCATCATGTTTTAATAATTATAGCCTATGCCATTATTACGTGTTGCACCAAGTTGGTTGAAGAGACCCTGTGGTGTCCATTTTGCTGTAAGTCGTATATACGTTAATTTTCATATAAAGTCACTATGCATTATTGATCAGTGTGTTTTACCATGTTTACATCCTGAATGAATTGTCTCGCTATTATTATCTAGTCGCAGGTTTTGAGATGGTGGAGAAGATTTGTAGCTCAGGTGGATGATTTTGGTGGAGTTTTGTTCTCTGAGCTGGATGGTTTGGTCGTGGAGCTTTCATCGTTCTTCTGAACGACATCATCAGCACAAACTTCAGATAGAAGAACGATGAAAGCTCCACGACCAACCATTCGCAGGTTTTTAATAAAATTGGATAATCGTTAGCGATATAATCCAATCCATGAAGCGTGTTTCATTTTACTTGTGATTCGGTAGTTGGGATGCATCTCTATTCCGGTGTTAATATTCATATTGGCACTTGAGCTTTAGTTTTTTCGCCACAAATGCACTATTCGTCGCGCTCTTGAATTCAAATGGATTACTGCGTATAAAGCAGATATGAGTTATTATGATATTGTTGGAGAAAATGAGTAGTACAGGAGAGGAAGAGAGAGTGAAGGATTCTGATGATATGGTTTCATTCACAGACCTATGTTTTATTTTTCATCATAAAATATTTACCATGTCTTTATCATGTTTTGTTGTTTAGTTTGGTGGAAGACTTGTCACTTTTTCATCTTTAACAAATCTTCAATCAAAACGTACTCGTACAAATAGTTCAATGAGTAATTCAAAACGAACTGATCCAAATAGCCGATCATCAGATATAGGAAGTATTGAACAAAATTCAACAGTAGGAACAGTACCTGATCAAAATCATTTAAATTCTACAGAAGTTCAATCATATTATGTTTTTATTAAATGCATTGATGCATTTCAACTGGAACCATCATCATCGCCAACAGTACAACTACATTCTTCTGTTAATAGCGATACTAATGGATCAGATGATCAGTGGAAGAATTCTATACAAGATATAATCGAATGTTTGATTAGTGTACTTGATTGTCCCAATGATTATTTAAGTACAGTTTGTGAAAATGCTAAAGCTTTATTCAAACCGATGCTTAGTAGTAATAATAATAATCCGGCGCTAACAAATGATCAAGGTCATTTGGATTTATGGAATGTAATTCAAGTAAGCTTTCATCTCTGTTGGTTTATTTCCTAACTCAAAATTGTGTCATAAGTAATTGGTATTGTTTTGAACTTAAACTTTTGTACATATTTACTAAATTACTAGGATCTATAATCCATCAATGACGGAGATCTCTTTTCGCTTATATTAAATCAATAACCTACGCTTCCATGAATAACACAAATGACCACTAATCAATAACTGAAGTTACTTACATTTATTGGTCCGCAAAACATCTTCCATTCCCAATAGCTAATTACGTAACCGTAATACATTGAAAGTATGAAATCATAATTTATTACATAATTAGATCATATATTATACAAAATTAAATAATATATGCCTATTTGATTAACGGTAATTACAGAACAGTAAAATATACATCAAATAATTCTTAGTATCAGAAGGGGTTTTGTGTAGATTGTAGTAATTTCAATAGTTGAGATCATGATTCAATTAAAGCTAGACCATCATGAAAAGCCTGGAAGCACTGGACGGCCGTTTCGTCCTATTATGGGACTCCTCAGCGACTCGCATCCATGACCCCGCCTCGCGGGATTCGAACCCAGGACCTATCAGTCTCGCACGCGAGCGATTATTCACTAGACCACTGAACCGGCATCCAACAGTGTTAATGTCTTGAATAAAATACAATAGGAACGAATTATAACCAACCAAATGTTTAATTATTATTACAGTATAAATATGTATACTGATTTATTGTATACCATTTCTATAATTTCTTCATTATTTACCTAATATCTATCAAGTCTCGCTTGTCTAAAAATAATGTAAACTTAAATTACTCTTAAATATAAAATTTACTTAAAGCAATATTAAAAGTGGGGTACAAATGAAGAATAATGAGTTTATAGGGGAATATTATCATTAACCTTGACACAAATGAAAGATGGTTTCAGTATAGTGTATTAACTTGAAAAAAGTTTGCCATTTCGAATTCCTGTAGGGTTAGATATATTCAGTTGTTATAATAATGTAACTCAGTTACTAAGTTTGCATTGCTTACATGGAAAGAACACCAACTTAGTCACACTTGATAGAGAAACTCTGGAAGATGTGTAAGCTTTCACATACAAGGAGTATCTGATGCAGAAATAAAGGCAAGGATTGACAAAGCAAGGGCCACATTCCTACAGTTGAAGAATATATGCAACTCAAAACACTTGTCAGCCACCATTAAATTGACAATCTTCAATAGGCGCGTCAAGATGGTTCTACTGTACGGAGCTGAAACTTCGAGAAAGCACAAGGATTTATAAACAATTGTCTACTTAGGGTTCTGAGTGTCCGTCAATCGGATACCATCAGTAACAACGTACTACGGAAGAGAGCATCATCCAGATGAAGAGGAAATTAGGAAAAGTTGAATTCGGATAGGACATAGAGTACGGAAATTATCAAAGGGTGCCACGAGGCAAACCCTTACTTGGAATTCCGAAGTGAGAAGGAAAAGAGGAAGACCAAGGAGCACATTACTTCAGGAATCGAATTCAGACATCATAAGAATGATTAGCAACTGGAAGGGGCTACTCAGGACAGAGTTCAAAGGAGAATCTTGATTAACGGCCTTTGTTGCTCCACAAGGGGCAATAGGCATGAGTAAGTAAGCCTATATGAAAGCTCGATGTATGGGCGATCAAAATAATGATTGGTTGTTTGCTTAGTCAGACGAGTAGAGATAGTCTGACAGGTATTCGATAAGTTATATATTTTCCTACCCTTATTATCATTGGTTTTTGTTGTAACGGGTGGATTGCACGGTTAGATGCGCAGCGTTTATATCGATCGATCCAGCGACACGTAAAACACGTAAGGCCGACCTAGAGTCCCGATTGGTCCCGCTTCCCTGTCTAGCCCAGCCAGTTGAAGTCTAGAACGCAAGTCACAGCCTCTGAGTTATGAATCATTATATTTCAGACATACTCTATTTATATACTAACCAAACAGACCACATCGTACCATAAAAATAGAAAACAACATCTGTACAATATTTAACGAGTGAAATAAATAACGGCCAATAGGACATCTTTAGACTTAACATGATAATGATTGGCACATTATTCCTCAGCATCCATAACAGTTTTGTTGTCGGTTTTTTAAGTAGAAATATATTTATGTTCTATTCATGCTAGTCATGTGTTCTCAATCTGAGTTGTGTTAAATTCCTGTATAACAGACATTGGAAGGGTATCTAGTGTAGACGACACCTTCGTCATCGTCAAAAAGAATGAACTAGAAAACACTTACAAACTGATCAAAAACGTTTTCAATGACATCAAGTTCACAATGGAACAAGAGTCAAACAACAAACTAGCATTCTTGGATATATTGATCACTAGAACCGACACTGGAAAACTGGAAACTCAAGTATTATAGGAAAACGACCCATACAGATCAAATTCTCAACTACAATAGCAACAACCCAAGAGCTCACAAAATCAACTGCGTACACACTTTGTTCAAGAGGGCGAGAAAACACTGCAGCACGCTGGCAGCACGAAAAAATGAAGAGAAATACCTGAAGGACGTATTTCAAAAGAACGGCTACCCAATCAACTTCATCAAAAAACACCAACCGCACGCAGCATTAGAACCCAAGTCAAGCACAAAAATCAACAAAAGGATCACCCTACCATATATACAAGGAATATCAGAAACCGCAACGAGACTGCTGAAAACCTTCAGAATAAGTGTGGCACACAAACCGACAAAATCACTACAATCAATCCTATGCAAACCAAAGGATGAAATAACAAAGGAAAACAAATCAAACATCATCTACAAAATAAATTGTGCCAACTGCGAAAAACACTACATCGGACAAAGCAGACGCGCCCCCTTCACCTTCGCCTACATGAACATCAATTAGCAGTCAAACGGCATGATATCTCCTCACTTATATCAATACACGTGGACAACTGCGGACACTTATTCGACTGGAAAAATGTGGAAATCTTAGACGGAGGAAACTCCGAAAACACCAGAGAATTTTCAGAAGCCTGGCACTCAGGTCAATCAGCAATCAACAAGCACATTGAAATCGATCCAATTTATCAACCAATCAGAAAAATCATGCACAAACATAAGAACAAAAATCAAAACACTGGGAGACACAACCAAAACAAAGAAGTAAACAATGACAAACTGAAAGTCAATAAGAACCAATCAACATCGAGGTGCACAGAATAAGCTTTGAAACGCATATGGAGAAATTCAAACACTTCCCTTCTATCTGAATCTTGTGTTGATGATGTCGTTCAGAAGAACGATGAAAGCTCCACGACTAAACCATCCAGCTCAGAGAACAAAACTCGATCAAAATCATCCACCTGAGCTACAAATCTTCTCCACCATCTCAAAATTATAAAATATGCTTATCAATGTCGGAGAAAAATCCGTCTATCGTATATCTTGTTTACTGGTTTTATCATTGATTATTGCACAAAGCAATAAAAATCCGAATTATGAAACCATGGGAAAAATTTAAATATCTTTTTGAACATTTGCTTGCCGAGTATCCCTGGTCTACGAGACATATTCCATTAAAGTGGAAAAACGCGTTTCAAAAAGATTTCCATCTAATATTAGTTGGAATATACTCGATATTCTTAGAACCAACAATGTTGTTTATTGTATTCTGCGGTCGTCCGAGTCTAACGCTGATATATATATATATATATATATATATATATATATATATATATATATATATATCGCTTCCTATCAGCAAGCCAGATCTGTTGTTGTAGTCACCAGTATTGGGTGCAGATGTTTAACGCACTCTTTCCTTAACAAAATATATTCAGATCTCTTTGTTTCTTAGACAGATAAGACAAATCTCGACTAGTAGAACGTATTCATCAGTATATCACATTATTTAGGGTATATCTGGTTAGTTTATTGTATCAACTTTCCATGTTAAATATTATGTTCGACTTTTAAAATTTTAGTTGTACGAATTACGGTGGAGTCATATCACCCTTCATGTTTAATTTTGATTGTAACTATGGCGCATACTACTTATATTGATAGATTTAAGTATTATATAACACAAATCGAATATGTAATGCCTGTAAACAGAAGATTGAAATGAATAGATTAGAGAAGAAAACTGAAAGCAATCAAGATAATAAACAGAAATGAGGGAACAATGAAATTTTTAAAAAAAAGCACTTCGAAATAGATATCCAAGTTGATGTATTGTTATGTATGATTTTCCATGAAATAAGAAATTGGTTGTCTTCACCAAGTCTTCTTTCACTATAGTAACAAAACTAATTTAGATATTATTATCATCACTGTAGTCTTACGCATATTATCTATCGTAGTTTAATGTCATTATTTTTTTGTTTTGTTTTTGGTGTTACTCATTTCATCTTATCTCTCTGTGTCATTGTTTTTAGACATGTTTTTTTGTTTTGGAATTTCATCTAGGCTCGTTTAGATAAATCAACTCCAGTAAAATCATCATTGTCCAATTTGTTAGGCTACAGTAAACAGGATTTTCAAGGTAAATATTTGTTGTTGTTGTTGTTGTCAACAAAATAAAGTCTATTTTCGACTTGATTGTTATTTAGTTTCGTTTTATATATAAAAGACACAGTAAATTACCCTAATCTACTATCGTCAGTCAGTCATCTACAACGTAGAACCATGCATATATATGCCATACCTCATTAGCACAACAAGATGAACACCAACTTCATAGAAGTAGTCACTTCGATGGTAATAATATATGAAAGAAAGACTTAGAATAAAGATACGATACAGGAAGAAAGAATTAGAAAGAAAGGTATAAAATCATTTTAATCTCACGGTTTAACGGAAGACAAGGAGCGTATACACCACCGACTCCATTGTGATCTATTCTGAGCCATGGGACCCAGAGTCTCTAACCATTGGTTACGATAGTCTCACGGACCTCAACCAAGTAGTCTGCATCTGCTGTCGTGTTTGACCCGTAGTTATTCCACCATATCAAAAAAAATTATTGATCGCATTTTGTGTAATATGTACAAATAATTTTAAATCTCAGAATCTAGGATTAGACTAAAGAGCAATTTATCTACTTCATAGGAGCAAATTCTCAGTCAACTCTGCAATCATCGGTTATCATAAGTTCATGGGATTGTTACAATCTCCGCTAGAAGAATTTCTCTATAAAGTCTTTCGATTCCATATAACTTTGTTTTTTTTCGATACATATCTTTCCAGTTTATCTTGTTAAATCATCTTCTCAATATTTAATCTTTCTCGTTTTTATCACTTTTGGATTATTGTAAACTTTTTCTCTGATTCATCTTATTATATTCATCTCATCATATTAATATTACATGACAATTTAAGCTGTTATACATCTATGCCATGCTTTATGTTAATAATATCCATATCTGTCTGTTAATTTAGAATGATTGATAAATGTCGATGATATGCGTATTATCCATTAAACATCGACCTATTATACTGTCTTAGAACTATGGGATATTTTAATGTTATGTTCTTTAAAATTAACTGAATAATAGGAACATGTACTCTACCCTTTCTTTTATCAATACATAATACTTTGGTTTGTATATTAAACCTAAGAAATCCAATTATTGGTAATAGACTAATGAGATAAGAGAATTTATCGTTTTATATTCACTTGGTGTTGTTTACTTGTATCATCCCTTTTGTTATTTAGGATTGCAATTGATCAGTCTATTGTTGGCATATTTGCATCCTGTATGGACTGCTTCAATATTGCCTGAAGTCACAAACTTTATAAGCAAAGATGGATAATGGTTAGCAGTGGAATCCAGGAGTTCCAGAATGAACATCAACTCTGAGATGCAGGTATATCCAGCTGACAAGTCCCAAACAGGACTGAACGCGCATCCTGGATTCCACTGCTAGGCACTATCTATCTTTGTTTATCGTTTTATGTTTTTTACTTTAAAAAATAATATTTTAATTTAGGTTTCAATGAGTCTACACCTTCTCAATTGTTGAATGCGTTGAAATATGCTCTAGTTACTAATGATATTCAAACAATTATTCAATTATGTTTACATCCGTAAGTTTATATATTTTAATGTCTGTATAAATACATATAAGCGTAGGCTATCGGTTAAGATATGGCTTCATTTACTGTGAACGGATACGCTTTTTGTTCAAAAGGAGTTTTGTTTTCTGAGGGGAATAGATATAGGTATATGAATAAGTGTATATATATTCTGGATTCAGACTTAGTTGATAAAATTTCTTTCTTACTGAAGTAGCTGATCAGATTCGTGTTTAAGTGTTGTAACGCTATGTGTCCCATAATGGATACTGATACACGAACTACCTATTCGAAAGCTTCCAACTAGCTACTGAGAACGAAGACCGAGAGTGATGAAAGAAGTTCATTGAACCAAACTTCTTCAATTGCATATGAAATCGCCTATATATATCTTGTGTAATAACACCAACTTTTCATTTGGTGACTTTTGACTGACTCACTGTATCAACTAGTATCTGCTGTCATATATGCATCCTGAACTGATCGCCTGAAAATATTGTCCTAGAATCTGTTTCGACGTGTGGAGTCCAAGATTTAATACTGATAGGCAATCCACCTATGCGAGAGTCCAACTGGCTATTCTAATTAAAAGACTCCGAATGAGAAAGAAAGGTTACTAGCTAAACCATATCACAAGCATGTGTATTAGTTGTCGGACACAATACATCATAACACTAACCATTTGTAGTCCTGAATATCAACAACGGAAAACTACAAAACTTTACAAAAATCTTAATACCTTTTAAGTAAGGTAACAGTTATCTGAACCTAGTTTTGTGGAAATTGGTTTGAATCATAATTTGTGTAATTTAGAGTGTAACAATTGTCCTTAATATCAAACGATATGATATCACAATGTATTGAAGCTGAAGGTATATTATTAGTGTTGAACCCGGTGTTACTAATGTTCAGAGGTTCACTGCGAAACCTAAAGACCCTCAATTTCTGTCCTGATAAGGGTCATGGGTAAACACTCCTGTTCAGTTCCATTATAAGATGAACAATTTGTCCATTGCTTCCTAGTTTTCTATGGCATGTTAACTGAAATAAGTTTAAATATTACAGATAACTTGTGATAGTCATGAAAGTCACTGTAACTTATTTAAGTTAAGGATGTTGTTTACTGATACATGATTCTTTGAACTGTAATCTTTTTAAATTAATAATTACAGTATTTTGGTATTAAACCCCCAAATGCCCTCGTAGTGGGTGTATTGTTTATGAAATTGAGAAGACGAAAAGCGAATGCCCGGCACTTTAATTGGGTTGGTGGACATGGCGAGTCCACCTAGGGGAGTTGGAAAACCCTGATTTCAAACCAGTGGTGCACATGAGCGCCGGTATCTTGAAGGAACAAATGGCGTATGAATGAATTATTGGACACCGGCTACCATCGGCCTCCATCTCTTTAGGTTGCTCCACTGTCTTGTAGGTTAGATCTTTAAACCAGGGACTCGTGGTATGGCCCCCCTACGGAAACCACCTCCTTCTGTTTGGGCACCCGGGCAGTATCACGGTCCTTACACAAATCGAATGATTTATGTGGCGCATGTCTATTTGGTGCTTTCTTGTGTGTTTACACAAATAAATAAATAATTTTGGTATTAAACTTACTTATTCTTTGATATCTTTCACAAAAAAATTATCTGTTCCCCTTACCCATCATGTTTCGCCTCAATTTCTTTCTTTTTTTTCAGCAAATTCTCATCATTATCTCTGCCAAATCTTTCTACATTAAGTATTTTCGCTATTATGTTAACTGATTTACATCGTTCAAAGCAAATAGAATTATATGAAGATGTAAAATTGAAATTATATCAGTCTTTAAATGAAATCTCATTGAATAATCATATCATTCATGATCCAATTTTAAATTCTATCATAATGTTATTTAATTGTGTACTATTACGTACTAATTGGTTAAATATTATTGAAAATTGGCCATTATCAGATTGGAAAACTATATTAACAGCATTGATTAATCATTTATGGGATCAAGATATTGAATTATTGAGAAAGTTATGCTGTAAGTCTTTTGTGTGTGTGTGTGTGTGTGTGTGGATATTATCTGTTTTTGTTACTGATGTTGTTGTTATTCATTTACGGGAATAGTTCTATTTAGTTTTGCCGTCAGTTGTAGGTAATTGATTGGTGATTTGAATTTTCGTTTCATATAGTTTCATAGTTAATAAACAACAAGTTATCAGTTTATTATGATTATTATCACGTATGCCCAACCACCGACTACCTCGACGTGCTATGTTCAGTGGTATAGGAGTAGGTTGGAAGAAAGCTAGAGGCGGCCAAACCAAAACATGGCACTAGTCCATGAAATCACTGACAAGTGGACTGAGTCATGTAGGTAGGTGTAGACTACCTGGTTGAAGACCACGAGATGATAGCAACCGATGGTTAGAGACGTTGAATGACATGGCTCAAAATCGTTTGCAATGGTGCAGGTGCATCCACTCTTTGTGTTCTCCCAAATTTTGATCTCCTGATTCCTCCTTGTCTCTTTTTTCTCTTCTTAAATTTATTTCACTGGATTATACTCTTTAAATAACATCTCCAAACCCTAATCTTCCCGATTACTGCTTATACTCTTGCTACCTCTACCACTACGTGATTTGAATCGACAACTGCATCTCTGTGCTAATGTGGTATGGCAACTCGAACTGATGTACGTACGTACGAAGTTCTACGTTGTTACTGACTGACTTATTATGATCAACATAAAGCCTTTCAGATGTGGATGTTAGTCCAAGTTTCTGTGTCTTATCAGTGTGAGAAAATGAAATTCGTAAGGTGATTGCCCCCAAATGCTCTAGTACAACTGAGGGTGAGGAGAGTCAGCTCTCCCTCTCGAAACGCTCTCATATGGCCATACATATACAGTCACTGTCAGGGAAGTCCGACTCAAGTCCTTCTCGGGTCGGGGGTGATGTTTACAAAATTGAGACAGATATAGAGGATCCACTTAGGGGAGTTGAAAAACCCAGATTCCAAACCAACGCAGAATACGGGCTCCAGGATCCTGAGGGAACAAATGGTGTACGAACTTATTGTTGGTCACTGGCTACCATGGGACTGCATCTTCCAGAGTTACTCCACTACCATTAGATTTAGACGTTTAGGTTGACAGCTTGGGGATTATTGACGCTCCCCCCAAGAAAACCACCTGCTTCGGTTTGGGCACTCAGGCAGTATTCCAGACTTCACACAAATCGAATTATTTATGTGGCGCATATATATATTCGGTGTCTTATTGTACCAATGTTTGTGTGTTTAAATAAATAAATAAATAAGACGTGGGGTGATGTTTACGAAATCGGGAGTTGGTTTGGTTAGTATGGTGGACTGACGAAGAGGAGTCGGAAAACCCTGATTCTATACTAGTGATGCATATTGGTTCATATTTTAGTCTGTCTATCCCTAGATTTCTTCTAGCCTACTCCTGTACCACCAGACATTGTTATAACCACGTCAATCTATGCAGATCCATAACTTCATCACCCTCACTTGTCCCCAGTACTTCAGCTCTAACCTCAAGGGTGCTCACTTGGTTGTTTAAAGTGTGTGTTCTACAATACCAAAGCTCATGGTATTAAGCTAAGCAATTTCAAGTTCACAGATTGTTGTGTTGAAGGAGGAGATGGTGACTGGTGGTTCTCCCAGACAGACTGGTTAATAGTCTAGCAGATATTCGATGTTTCATATATACTTCTTTATCCTTGTATTGAGTGGATTGCCGGTTGTGAGTTGTTGGCTAATACACGTACTTGTCAGATGATTTGACTTGTGTTGAAACTTTGTAGAATCGTACTGGCTAGATATATAATATAAAGTAAGTGAATCGTACACGATAATAATAATGAATCGTCCATTGCCCATCATAAGGAAACTATTGTTCCATTAGTGTAGAGGAGAAATACAACAGTTTATTTTACAGATTTGCTTTACATTAGATCATTTAGGAAAGGTTCCATCTCTCTAATCATGAATGTGGTAATCCGACCTTTAAACTTCTGTCACTGGCTAAAAATTAGGTTTATAATGAACGAATAATCCGAACTTTGACTATTGAGTTGTTAGTTCAAAACCAACCCTATTGATTTCTTTTGAATATCGGGCTAGTACCATTGAAATTTATGATCCAAAACCAAGCACACGAACCACTACTTAGTTACTCAAATGTGTTTATTAACCAATTTATAAATAACAAATAATATAAGACTCATCAGAAATTCTCATCCACAACCCCACCGTAAGAGATCGGACACATGATCCTTGCACGCAAATACCTAGCCTCTAGACCACTGAACTGGCATCCGATGATGCACGTGTTCAACTTTAATCAATACACGATATTCTGTGATCACCTTGCATTACCTGTTGGTGATTCCTATACTGGCATAAGACAACTGTTTAGTGCTTCTTTGTTTTAAATGGTTGTTTAGCTATTATCAGTTCATGATTTCAATTATGAATATTCTACAATTTCCTCGATGCCCTTCGCTCTTACACTAATAAAAATATGCTGGATTAGTTGCGGAAATCAAGTAGGTATCAGGATTGTTCAAGTAACACATCAAATAAACTTGAATGTTTAATTGCTTTCATTAATTATCACTGTTATCACATAAATACCCTGATATCGATACTTGTGTGTACATCACAAGTTTATTATTAACTTTTTTATGTCTGTGTGGTAAAACCGATTACTGAACATTACTAACATCTATCAAGAAGAATAGTAAATTAATCATTGATACTATTTACCTGGTTTCTCTAAAGAATTAATATCAAAATTTAGATTACTTAAAAGTAGTTTGATAAATTCAGTAAAATAATCAATCTATTTCTGTAATATTCCCAAAACAATTGTATTTCTAACGTTTCGTGACTTAATGTAAGTCACTTCTTCAGAGTGAACAAATAACTGAAATACAATTAACACAATTGCAAAAATTACCATTGAGATATCATAAAAATATTTTTATTATTAATTTTCTATTCAACATTCAATCTATTTGAAACTATCACATCCAACTTTGACCTTGAAATACTTATCAGTAAAATGATTTACTGAATTAGCTGATTGATAAATTGAATAGATCAAAGTTAAAATTGGTAACAGTTGGGAAATGCCCGCCTCAAGGTTTGAAATCTTGAGTTCGATTCATAGTAGAGTCATGGATATCCACTACTGTTCAGTTCCTTATTAGGATGAATTTTGCCATTAATATATATTTACCTTATCCCGATTATTTAATCAATAAACTTCTTTTTTTTGTGAAGAATTATTATGTACATATACATCATTACTACAGATTGTATAGAAGGTCAATATAATCTTCATGGGAATTCAATTGTTCACTGAAAAGTTTATTTTAGGGACTAACATTATCTATATTTCGCCCTTGATTATGTACATGTTCACTCATCAAGTTATGGTAATATTTATGACAACAGTTTATTTCGTATTCTCTTTTCATTTTTAAATACTGTTAAATAGAATAACTTATTTTATTGTTCTACATCTCTTCGCAGGTACAATAGTTAGTTATTGAATTTGAGTTTACTAAAACAAAACGGTAATTTAATTGTATTAGGACAGTCAACTTCCAGCTACTACGTTACATGTTTAAACCCCTCACTCTACTTAATTACAGTTTGACCACTGTTAGGAACTTGAGATCCCCAGAACTCATTTGGGAAAGGACCTAATTTTGTAATTTTATTTAGAGAATTTGAATTTCCTTGTTTTCGCGCCAAAGGCGCTCTTTTCACCTTCACGTCGTATTTTCCACTGGGAAATATCTTAAGTGTTGTTGGTCCGTTGCATCTTTTGATATGCTATTTGGTAACACTCCCCAAGGACGGTTTTGCACTGTATATATACGTTTTAAATTGCGTTTGTTATTATCGCTCGTTTCTGGCTGTTCGCAGAATATACTTCCCGATTCGAAGTTTGGACTTTTTCCTCTAGTTAGCGGAGCTGGGATGCATCAAATAACTAGGTTATTGGTTTTGGTCACCGAGTCTTTGTTTCCGTTCGCAGTCAAAGTCAACTCGCAACCTCTTCAAACTTAACAACTACGTGGGTAATATCAATAAGCCTCACATTTAAAGTACAGTTTAAAGTCAAGTACACAGATCTATTCTTGTTAATTGGTTATATGTCTAAACGTTGACCGTTGAAATGTTTTTTGAAAATTTGTGGGTCAGATGTATGAGTTATTAACTATGATGATGAATATGTTGTTTTTAAACAACATTGTTAGCTTAACAAGTCAATTAGTCTGAACATCCTGAATTCTAAACCATCAAATCTATTAGTCATGTAATATTGACTAGTAAAGTTGTCATCCTAAATCTAATGTATCTAATATCTATATGTATATTATATCTCTGTTCACTGTTATTATCATTTCACTTTAAATTTTTGTTCCTTTTTTCATCGATTTTTTAGCGATTTTCGCTAAACGTCTACTTGATAATACAACTAACGATAATAATAATACTAATATTACTTCATTTGAGTCTGGATTAGCTGCATGTATCTGTTGTATTATTGGTGATGATCTTGATCATTTAACAGAATGTTGGTTACGTTTAAATAATATAAATGAAAATCATTTGGATGATTTAATAAAATGTTTGGTAAGTAGTGTTGGAGATGTTAGATCCCCACAACTCACTTGGTAAATAGCTTATTTTTGTAATTCTATTTTAAACATATGAATTTCTTGTTTTCGCACCAAAAGCGCTCATTTTCACCTTCATACCATATTTCCCACTTGCGAGGATCTTAAATGCTACTACTCTGCTGCTTGCGGAATATATATATATATTTCCTTTATTAAGTGATTGGACGTACTCGAAAACAGATCGTTTGTTTTTACCTAAATATCCTGGTAGTTGACACGTATAAACAAAGTATTTGCCTACAGTCTTGAAGAAATCGATATTCTTTTTGTGGAATGCCAACCCAGGTTACCTGATTCTGTAGTAAATAATAATTACTATAGGGGTTTATGGAGATTATTTCAATTTTAAACTTCGAATCACCGACTGATGTTAAGTAAAGCATCATGTTTAATGTTGGTTATGCAATATGATGGTTGCGTGATATTACGAATTGATTGAAGTTAAACACGCAAACTATTGAATGGCGACTTAGTGATATAGAGATTAGTCATCCTTGTACGAGTGCAATCCCTGGTGATAGAATCGTGGACACACTTTTGAATAGTTCTATATTACGATAAAACAACTGCCCAATTCTTCCTTGTACTCGGTGGTTGTCTCACTAATATTAGTCCGTAATGTTTGATATAAGATAATAATTATCCTACGTTAAAATACTAATGTTCAAATTGGTAAATCCCACTATAACGACAATCAACTCTTAACGTAGATAAGTACAATAATGACTCGTTCAATATGACCGAAGAAATAAAATACGTATCAACCACTGCCTAGGAGTACCATAATAGGACGAACCGGTTGTCCAGTGGTTCCAGCTTTTCCATGGTGCTCTAGTTTCAATTGACATCAATTGAAATAATTTACGATTAATCAATGAAATACAAAATGGGAAATTATACGATAGAAACACTAGTTACTTATGAGTAGTACAATTATAATACATAAAACATTTGAAGTGTTAAGATGTTTGTGATCCACCAAATGAAGTTTGAATTCTGCATCCAAAAAAACGATATGATGAGATATGCATGTTTTAATAGAAGATTCTTTCTTCATTTCATATTTACTTATTATTATTATTTATTAATTTCATTGTTTAGCCATTAGCATTACTACTACTCTTCTTATTTCGTTTATCATCATCTACTGGAATTAATCATTGTACAAATAAATCAAGTCAATTATTAATTCATCTTGCTATATGGTTAATTGAAACTAGATTTGATCATAATAATAATAATAATAATATAATAATAATGGGCCAAATAAACAGATTAGTTTACTTGCATTAAATTTATTAACAAAAACTTTATCAATTGTTGAATTATATTCACAAACAATGAATAATTTAATTGATTTAAGACATCGTATTTGGTGTAATCTAAGCATGGAACAACAACAACAACAAAAACAACAAATATTATCCAATGAATTATCTCAACAATTTTTATGCCCATATCCGGTAAGTTTTATTTGTTCATGTTTTTTTTTGTTCTTTTCTTCTTCCAATGCTTTCTTTATTTTAAGTATATTTATGTCAATTGTCGAATGTATGTATGTATCGAACTGAGGAGTCTGAAATAGGACGAAATGTGTATATTGTATTGAACTGTTAGTCATGACCCATTTTTTCGATAATCGAATAGTTAGTTTATATGGATTATGATGAAAATCACCTGTTCTTTAAGAATTAATGATAAATAACTAACAGGTAATCTGTTTGTTAAGTCTGTCGAAGCGTCCAAGTCACCTGGTTGAGATACGCGCAAAGTTTCCAAAACAACGATTTGTCTACAATAGCGGCTCTTTAGTGAATAATAAACAAAATTTAGTTACAAACCTCAACTTGTGAGGTGTCTCAGGTATTTAAACGCTTTCATTCAAATATGAAAATGAAAAGGCTTCCTGTAACAGTAACATAAAGAATAATTATAACATACGATAGTACAAAGGACAGCTGATATATGTCTAAATTTGATAACAGTTTATGAGCAACCGAAACTCGAACCAAGAGCAAAACAATATGGAAAGTGTTGCGCTTAAACAAATGCACAAAACTGTGGATAACGGCTACAGTGATTAAGATACAGTAATTATAATGATAAATACAATGATAAGTACAATAAACGTTATAAGTATATGTGTACATTTCAGAATATTACAGTACAACTTGCGTTACAATATAAGTCTGAAAATTGTTGGGAATACAATTGCTTACTGAATGTAAATAAGTAGTATAAGACAATATACAAAAGAGTAGAAAGGGAACGAGTAGGAACAATGTAAGACGAACTTAACACTGCTTTAACATTTACATCACTGACAACCATTAACAACTAGGGACCACTAGAAATCTTTTTCGTTCTTATGCGAAACCTGTTATAACTTTAAGCCTGGCTAGTTATCATGTGATATATTCGCCTGTCGAAATACCACTTATACAATCTTAGCACTGTGACAAACCAATGACGTTCAACCGGCATGAGCATTCTAGCGTCCTTATTGGTCCTTTATTCGTCTAGCTCGTCCAGTTGAAACCAGAATGCCAATAACATCTTCCACTATACGAATCATTTATTTCAAACATACTTGGTTTATATACCAGACAAACAGACTGCGTCACACCATAAAATAGGAAATAACATTTATACAAGATCAAGCCAAAAAGTGGCTGTGAACGTGGGAGACTGTAATCAATAAACTGAGTATAATTTAAGAACAGTAAGTCGTACAATAATAATCTATAGGTCAAAATGAAGCTTATAATAAGAGGAATATAGATATACGTAACCTAGTTACTGAATAGTTATACAGTAATAATATATATATAATATTAGTCCATTAATAATTCTTAGAAGTTACACGTAATTCAATCTTCACTAGGATATAACAAAACCCTCTGTTAGTACACATCCATGTCTTTACCGGGGACCTAACTCATGGCCTTCAAGTTTCGTGGTAAGCAGCTGATTTTAGTTAGGCATGTACATCAAAAGATGCTGACTTAGTGATATGGAGATTAGTCACCTACCACTAAGTCTGGTGGTGATGTGTTTGATCCTTTTTGATTGTGTTGTTGACGAGCACAACTGAGAAATTTCTTGCTAGAATAAAACATCTGTCCAGTGCTCTCTGGTTTTTAATGGTGTTTTGGCTTATTGTTTCGTATATCACTCGTCCTGATAACCGTTATTACATAACTTCAAACGATGTGTAGATTTTAGATGACAATACGAAAAGGTGACTACAATCTATTATTGTACAATTCAGATCACAGAGTTACTAAGCACATGAAGCGAATACGGACAAAAATGCGAATACTAATGAATGAAAAGGATTTAATATGCATACATATATATCAACAAAGTAATGAGCGACTTAAGTAGCTAACATGTAAGATAGTGAAAAAATCTTTGTGTAGGTCCTAGCGCGTGATCAAGCATACACTAGTACAGCGAGATGAAATCTTCAGGTCAAATTCCAGAGTAGTAGAGATAGCAACATAATGAGGACAAATAAAAAAGATTAGGGATGAAAAATACAGATCGAAGAGATATAAATTACTGAAATAATGAAAACGTTCTTAGATAAGGATCTAAGGGAAGATAAACAGTGAATCCACCTGTACCACTGCGATCGATTCTGCTCCCTGCCATTGAAAGACTTTAAACATTGTATTTGATAATCACGCAGAACCTAAACAGTTGGTATGAAACTACCCACTTACCTACATGAATCAGTTCAAGAAAGTGTGTCTTCATGGACGGATGCCATGTCTTGGTTTGGCTGCCTCTGACTTTCTCGTCACCTACTCCTATACCGGCTATCATCGTGCATGCGAATGCTTAATACATCTTCCAACCATCTCAGTCAATAAAGATTCACTACCTCGTCTATTGGTTCAGCATACTCGCTTAGTACTCTGCGTCTAACCTAAGAACTGCTAACTCAACGGTCCTAAAATATACAAGTAGTGCTTCAAAGACACCTATGGAAGAATACTAGTAACCTGTGAATATCCTCTATTCTTAAAGACTGCGTTTCACATCTTTAAAGAAGAACCGAGCGAATATCTCGTCTACGTCAGTAGTGACATAAGTTGGCAAAAACTAACCAAACTTCCTGACTTCTTGCCAAGGATTCATGAGACACCAACTCATCTTATCTGATATGATTTCCAAGATAAATGAAGTCATGGATTGAAATGATAGATTTTGATCAAACACCAAACGGAACATTGATATGACCGTTGGATACACTATTGTAATGTTATTGGTTTTTGACTTTATATATATATATATATATATATATATAGATATAGATATATATATATATATATATATAATTTTTTTTTTATTTTTATACTAGCATATACAATGTCATTGTGGTCTATCAAAGGCTAATTCATCCACAGAAATACAATCATCTTTATTTATTAAAACAACTAATACTAATCATTATCAACCACAACAGTCAGTAAATTATCCATTTTTATCTAATCAAACAATGCAATGCACATATCAGTCAAAAATAAATCAAAATCAATTTTATGAACAAAATAATCTTGATAGTTTCAATTATCCAACTTTTTCTTCATCTTCTACTAATTGTTTATCGTTTAATGATAGTGTTGTTGGTGTACAGACCAGTATATCTGGACAAAATAAATCTACGTAAGTTTTGAAATCGGTTGCAATTTGGAAAATTCATTCAATTTGATTGATTCTGTGTTAGATTTTAAGTTTTTACAGAACAGTTTTTATGATGTCCTGGTACGACTGAGAGTGGAGTGAGTCAGCTCCCCCTCTCGAAATGCTCTCACATGGCCACATGTATATAGCCTCTGCCAGGGAAGTCCTACTCACTGCCTTCTCGTGGCGGGGATGTTGTTTACGAAATTGACAGGACGAAGAGCGAATGTCTGGCGCTTTAACCGGGTTGGTGGATGTGGCGGATCTATCTAGGGGAGTTGGAAATCCCTGATTACAAACCAATGATGCAAATGGGCTCCAGTATCCTGAGGGAACAAGTGGCATGTGAACCAATTGTTGATCACTGGCTACCATGAGACTTCATCTTCTAACGTCGCTCCACTGCCTTGTGAATCAGACCTTTAGGTCCAAGGCCCCGGTTGTGGCCCCCTACGGAAACCACGTGCTTCATTTTGGGCACCAGGCAGTATCTCAACCCTCACACAAATCGAATGACAAAGTGTGGTGAATATCTATTTGGTGCCTCCTTGTACCAATGTTTGTGTGTTTAAGTAAATATAGATTTCGGCTAGTAGTGGAATTCAGGACTCATGTTTCGTACTACTTTGGAGTTTCATCAGCCAGATGTTCCTACATCCTCATTCACAATTTCAATTCAGTACTATTCACTTCAAGCGCTGTCACATTATTCACTTAGCTACTGAGTGTAAATAGTTATTCATTTATTCAATGGTTATGAATTTAATGTAATTTGTTGTGGTTTTAGATTAATCTAGTTGTTGATATTTTCATTGAATTCGGACCACTCTCATACTGTTTTATTCCATGAGTAGGACTTCTTTGGTAGTGGCTATATACGCGTGGTTATATGAATGTATTTCGAGAGGGATGGCGGACTGTCTTTACCGTCGGATGTACCACGGCACTCGGTGGGCCAAGCTTAATATAACGGGTTCGGTCAGTCAGTTAAACGTAAACTAGCACATAAAACCAAAGGCCGAACTATACGTTATAGAGTCATGAGTCTGCACTGCAGAGGTGTCTCATATTAAGATGGAATGTCAAGTCGTTCAACCAATTAATTATGATTAACATAATATCTATCTCAAGTCATAATCTCTGACTCACCATTCATGCTAATATAACTAAATGAAATCAAATAAGTGGGAAGTTATTTAGAAATCAATATAAAAATCTAGACAAAATATGCTGCTGAGAAGAAACGTACATGATTATCCTGGTCTGTCCGGTTTTCTCAGTGTCTCTCAACAGATTGTAGATTATGGTGATTAGTATCAACAAATTATTCATCTTAATATGGTGATATGATGAAGGTTGATAAGATCCTTTTAGTAATTCGTCATTGCTGACGATTTTATAAGAAAGTAATGTTTTTCTTTTTTTTTACACATATTTTAATAAACTACTTCTTTTTATAGATTCAACTTTTCTCCGCCTATATCATCACATAATGCCGATGTACTGCCATCACTTACTTCTCCTGTTCCATCCACAATAATATCATCCTCCTCCTCCTCCTCAAATATTTACTCTCCACTGGGTTTGCCACCTGTAAATTCAATAAATCAATCGAATCTATCATCGGCTAGACAATTTCCACCTGTTGTCGCACCACCTCTGCTAGATGCCAATTATAACAATAATAATAATAATAGAAACTATCCTGTAATGAACCATCGTTATGTACAACCTCCAAATAATAATCTATTAGGAACAGATTCAGTTTCTGGAAATAGGTAGATCATTTTTTTCTTCAAATGTAGGGATACTTAATAATTAAAGTGATATATTTTGTGGTTATTTTTCTCTGTAGTTTTCAGTGTAAATCAAACAGCTTTTTTGCGTTAAACAGGGTTGATTAGCATTTTCACCTTGACTGTTTCGAAGATTGTATTCTAGGGTTATTAGTTGCAGTTATCTATAGTGTGTTTTAAATAGGATAAAGTGTGGCTAGTAATGAAATCTAAAACGTGCGTTTTGTCTTACTCGGGGCTCGTCAGCTAGATGTAACCACATCTCATTCACAACTGGAATTCAATACTGTTCACTTCAAATGCCATTGCATTCTCCACTTAGCTACTGAGTGTAGATAGTTACTCATTTGTTCAATGGTTATAGATTGTAATGTAATTTTAAGTGGTTTTAAATTAATCTGGTTGTTATTATTTTCATTGAAATTCGATCGTTCTTAGTTGTAATCCGGCTGAAAAGTTCCAAATAGGATGGAACGAGTGTCCTGGATTCCACTGCTAAAGATATTCTATTTCAGCTTGTGTCATGATGACTATACCCAGTCAATCCCGTTACGTTACCCGTATACCAACTAATATTGATCAAATTTCAATCAACATCATCAACAACAGGATAATTCAGATAATTTCAAATCAAGTTATAGTGTGTTCTGTTTTTTTGGTAGAAAAACAGTCTTTAGTGAAGTTTTTTGATGTTATTGTTTTATTTCGGTCACATGATCCCGATTGAATGTGTTGTTTTTATCTTTGCTGTTCTTCTACTGTGTTGGTTAATGATTCCTCTTCTATCCGATAAAATCTCTTGTACTTGTCTTTGAGGTACGCTTTAAGTGTAAGGGTTACTAGTAACTACTGCTTGTTTGCTTTAAACAAATTAGATGTAGTGCGTTTCAAACTTACAACTTATTAGCTACGAGTTGAAGGTCTTAAGCATTGAGGCATCTCTTCATATTAACTGAAACTATTTCACTGTATTAAACAGACAATTGTTTAAAAAGTCTGTACAAAATCTTAAGTAAGGAACTATAAAGTGGTTTACCTAAACTAATGATAAGCAATTAGTATTTCTCCAATAATTTGCTTTGTTGACATGAAATGTTTTACTTATCTATAGTCCATCACTATATGGTTGTTGTTTGCGTATTTGTTGTGATTGTATTTCTCTCCTGAGTCGATCCCTGACTATTCACTTCTGAAATTAATTCAATCTATGAGCCAGTATGAAAGATGTAGAACAGTTAGAATGTCAGAAATGTAAAGAAAGTGTCAGATAGGTGATTACAATCAAAACAAAAATGTTTGAACTACGGCAACATGATTATCAACAACAACAACTAGTCAAATTGCAGGTCAACAGAACAAGTTGTTAGCCAATTATAAAAAAATAGCTAATTGATAATGTTGTCTAGAAGGATACCGAAAACTTCGCGACTAAATATCATCTAGCTCATAGGAACACAATCCCTGTAAAATCTCCATCTTGAACTGCATTATTTTCGGTGGATAATCCTAACAAACATATCTTAAGATGTCCATCTTATGAAAATCAACGCTCGCACATACATACGTGTGTATACATTGAAAGATTTCATCTTTGATTTTTATTATTTAGTATGTCGAATGTACTAAAGCCACCATTGCCTGCAACACCAGCATCACCAACACAATCAGCCCAAATGAATACAACCTTTGGGCATAACTTTGGTGGAACAATGCCTCCTAGTTTTCAATCATTAAACAATGTGCCTTATGGTATGCTAACACCTATTCCTCAGTTCAACACCCAACAACAACAGGAACACATTCAACAACATATGCCACCGCTACTACCAGCACCAATGTCGATACCACCAACACAAACACAGCATCAATCATCAGTGATATCACCAGGTTGGAATGATCCGCCTATCTTAACAACTGATAAACCACGTCAGGTATGTCGTGTCATTACTAGTGATATTAATTTTGTTGTTATTGTCGATTCCCATTTCGTGTGGAATTTAGCTTCATACCAAATACTGATCGTAGAATGAGTATACTATATATCGCTCCTAAATGCCCTTGCACATCCGAGAATAGAGACAGTCCACTCTCCCTCTCGAAATACTTTCATATAGTCACACGTATATAGCCACTACCAAGGAAGTCTTTTTCGCTGCCTTCTAGAAGTAGGGTGATGTTTACGAACTGACGGAAAGGAGCCGGAAAACCCTGATTCCAAACCAATGATGCACATTGGTTCGGAAATCCTGAGAGGAGAAATGGTGTATGGACCTATTTTCTGTCACCATCTACCATTGAACCGCATCTCCTGTCGTTGCTTCATTGCTTTGTGGATCATACCATTAGATCAAAGGCTCTGTAAATGGTCTCCTAAAGAAACCATCTGCTTCGGTTTGGCTGACCGGCCAGTATCATAAAAACTCAATGATTTATGTGGGGAATATATGATTTGTTTGACTGACAGCTGAGAGGTTAACCGATAAGCTGACTATGATGTTCTTGAGAAGCACTGATGTTGGTATCTGCAGGTATCCCTATCAACTTCACCACTGGAATATATTTGCTGTCTTGGTAATTATATGTGCATGATTTGATGGAATATCATAAACCACGTTTTCAGGGTGTAGAATCTTGAGTTTCTGGTTATACTGGATAACTTGTGAGGGTGTATTGTCGAAAATTTCGAAGGTTTGTGACCAAGATCATATTCATAGTGATAGAGCGAGTTAGCTCAGCTCCATCTTGTTCTCTGTATACTTTCGCTTTGCAAGACGCCAAACCTTTTTTTGCTGCATATGCTGGCTAAACATTTTCAGTTATTTATGTCCTTATAAATTGTTCAATATCTATCGGTCAGTTATTGTAAATGTTTCACAAATCCTGAGTAAAACTTGTGGCAGAAATTTCCTTCATGAAAAGTGCTATTATATCTATGAACTACACGAATACACTTAGTGTGTGTGTATTCTAACCAAATGTTGGCTGATGCACCTACAAATGTTTACATTTTATTTACAATTTTTCTAGACAACTGTTTCACACAACCCTTATTATAATCCTATGGAATTTATTAGTTCACCTTTGCCTCAACCGAATAATTCCGTATCACCTTCGAATTTTCCTCAACCAATGATGGAACTACACACTACTCCTTCAAATCCTCCTTTACCACCAGGTTGTCCTGCTACTGGATTAAATGTATATCAACCTGCGCCACCACCAATTCAAAATTCTATCTCACCTATAAATGCTGGTATAATGCATCCTCAGCAGCAACTACAGCAGCCCTTGCCACTGTCATCGACACATATTCAACAGCAATCATTATCATCATCATTCATGGGACCGCCTGTTCAACAGCCATCGTATCCACAAGTACAAGGAGTATATCATCAACAAGAACAGTACCCAAATTATTTCCAACCACCGATTGAACAAAATTCTCAGTTTTGCACTATATCGTCAACACTACCATCTATGTCATCAGTTGTTCCACCGAATTCCTACACCGAACTTAATCTTTGGCCTGCAGCTCAACCTTTATCTACTACCGTTAAATCTGGGATTACCAGTCAAACTATTATTGAAAATGCCATGCCATCGAATTCTTTCACTTCTTCGAATGATGACCATACTGATTTACAATTATCACATAAGTTAGATTCTACAAGTTTAAACTCTGATCACAATAATGTTAATGATTATTCATTGCCAACAGAATTTCAGCCCATAAAAAAAGTGTTATTTGACTTAATTGAAAATTGTCGTAAGGTTGGCGACAAAGTAAGCATATTTATCTAAATTTTACCTTAAATTAATTTATGCATAATACTTGCGTTATTTGTTCTTCACTTATGAATCAGATTCAAACATGTTGGCACAAGTCTTGAAGGCACAGAATTGAAATATATAATAATCCCACTACTATTGTAGTAAGAAATCTATTAAAGTTCACAGTTGGTTGATCACTGAATAGTGACCAATGTCATGTTTGTCTAGTATGTTTCTTGTGATGATCAGTTTCTATTGATCAAGCTTCAATGTCGTGAGTTGTCTATTTGACTTGGCATTCGAAATAAAACATTTCTTAACCTAAATTTCATCGCGCCCTATATCAAATTATGAATTTCAGGGATATAAGTTCAAATGCTATAGAGATTGACACTTCCTTTTAAACCATAGCTACTCTCTGCTTACAAGTGCCGACTCGCCTGAAGTGTAATTCTAAGGTTTCCTCCAGACTATCTTCAATCATGTAGTGATTTTTCAATATTCAAAGTAAATTATCAGGTATATATTTTCACTTGTCACGTCTATCTAAAATGAAGACATCTTTTGGGTTGCAAATAAATATCACTGAATTGTTTTAAATTACATTATTAATAAGGACTATTCATTAATTAACTGTACGTAGTTACCAACATCGGAAATTTCCGTAATTAGTATAACTGTACTACATGAGGGCTTGGTGGGGTTATTCAATTCAATACTTCATACAAAATTACAGAGTACCTTTATAAACATCTTCCACCTAATTATATTTCATAATTTTTTTCGATTCCTTTGTTGTCCCAATTTCTTTCTGTTCCTCATTCCTGTTTTCGTAAATTCAATCTTCTTTCGGCAAGCATTCCAAGCATAAGTAGCATGCATCACATAATCACTATCACCTCTTAATTTAAATTAAGGGAGGTTTGTATGTATTTCAATAGCCTATTATAAATGAGTATAATAACTTCAATTAAAACATTCTTGGCGCATAGATAAGCACTATTCTAACTAGCTTGATTTGTTCATTTTTGTAATGGTTGTTTGAATATTCCCATTTACGTTTAGGACAACAGTGTACACATGGGTCAATAATAGACTGACCAGTTGCAGTTGTAAATATCAAGGGGTAGAAGAAAATCGGTTGAAGTATTGAATGTAAACATTTCTTGTTTAATTGATCATTATCACAACAAGGAACTGACATTTTTTTGTTTTTCATATTCATACTATTTAATGGTAATATCAATCAATCAGTTGAACTATCTTCAATCAAGATACGATACAAACAATATTGATTTATTTAAACCATTGATTTTAATCACTAATAATATCTCAGTAATTAATTAAATACTGTGGTGTTTGCTACTTATGGAACAGGTTAAGTAGTATGTAGCAGGGATCGGAAGTAATAAGAATAACAGCTGGATTGGAAGAAGTATGTATGTATACCTTAAGACAATAAACGGGTTTATATATAGAAATTATATACGAAATAATCTCGGCGATTGAAATTTAAATTATTCCAATGTTTCGTCCAACACACTTGTCTGAACTTCGTCAGGCTAACAATCAACATTATTTTTTTGATATTGATTATAAGCCTGAAGAAGTGTAAATAAGTTTGATGGACGAAACATTGAAATTGTTTCACATAAATAATTGTTGCTCTATACTATCAGCAACCTAATTTGTTTTTTGTTGGTTAAACTATTCATTATTGTTTTCCTTTATCATTTAAGCAAACTCGTCATAAATTAATGAATGTTGAATATTGTTTAAATCAATTCTATAATAATATATCTACTGGTCAATTACAATTAGATCACAATTCTATGGAATATTTACAATTTTGTATTTCATCTATTCAATCTAATGATTATGTTAATGCATTAAAACAAATAAATTTATTTATACAATCTGCTATAGAATTATCAGATATTCAATATTATGGACCAGCATTAAAAAGATTAATTCAAACTGCTAAACAATTATCTATTAATATGAATAATATTAATCATTGATAAACATATGGATCATATTGATGATGATAATGATGAAGATAAGAATTCAACAGTGTCTAACTGTTCTAATCTAAACATCTATTGAAGGATTAGAGTGAGTTTTCTGTTGCTGTTGTTGCTGTTGTTGTTGTTGTTAATGGTTTAAAACTATGTTAGTACAGTATAATCATTCATTTGGCAATTAGATCTTTTTGTCTTTCCTTTCCTTTCGTTTTCTTTTTTTCTTTATTATTTATTATTCAATATTTTTCGTCGTAGAAAATTCACTGTCAGTGGTTGAATTCAGTGTATACTCATTGAATTTAAGCGAAGAAGGTGGGGGGGGGAAGGGGGGGGTCATGCGTTATATGATACTTTTAACTTTGTTAATATATTAATCAAATGTCATTATGCTTACTAATTATGGGTGATGATAACTATTATGATTGTTACTATGCTATTACTACTATCATAGGTATAAGTAGTGCATGTGTTTTTTATGGTTTCTTTTTTTTTTTTACCATACTTGTCTTTGCCTTTTTGTTTACAATTATTCTGCTTATCTGAGATTTCTTTTATTAAACACATATTAAACTTTCATGACAATAATCTCTTGTTTTCTTAATTCATTTCCTTGTTATAATTTTTGTTAAAATGTAATATGTATTGAATATTTAAATAAAAAAAAAACTAGTTGCAGCATGGATATATATACATCCCTTGACTGTCGTTTATATCTGTCGTAATGGTCAGTCAGTCATAAACAACGTAGAATCTGGCCAAGTTGTCTCACTATATCTTACTTACTTTCTTGCTTACACTTGTTACTCCCAGTGAAGCATAGGCTGCCGACCCGCATTCTCCAACACACTCTGTCCTAGGCCTTCCTTTCTAGTTCTATCCAATTGTTGTTCATTCTTCTCATGTCTCTTTCCATTTCTTAGCGTAATGTATTCTTTGATCTTCCTCTTCTCCTTTGACCTTGAGGATTCCAAGTGAGGGCTTGCCTTGTGACACAGTTTGGTATTTTCTTTAATGTGTGTCCTATCCAGTTCCAATGCTTCCTCCTGATTTCTTCCTCCACTGGAATCTGATTTGTTCTCTCCCACAGTCTCACTTTATTATTATTATTGTTATTATTAATAGCTTTGTTCAATATTATATTTCGGTACAATATAGAATTCTCAGCATAGGGTATTTCAACAAGTTTCTTACACAGAAAACAGAAACAAAGACAAAAAAAAGTTTTAAAAAATCTGAAAAACTGTACAACTTTTAAAATTAAAGTCATGTTAAGAATGCAGGTTATTGGCTAGGTTAACTCTAACAACCTGTTCGTCACAGAGTATATTTGCTAGGTAAGGCACTATAGAACTTTTATACATTTGATTGCGTGCATGGATTTTAATGTAATTACCTCTCGTTCTACCAGAAATATATAAGGAGAAAGATAAGAGTGAAGGGGATGGTTAGTATCTGATAAAATAACACCTGTCAGGATTTTGCATGACTTTAGATGTCTATCCACAACGTTATTAATTATGACCTCAAAAGATTCACCACACATCTTGCTAACTGCCTTCAGCACTCTCCGCAATACAGCAAAGTTTTTTCTCCAAAAGCCCGAGAAAAAATAGTGGAGAACAGTAAAGAATAATATGTAATATGCAAGAATTGACAAATTGTAAGAGTAAATGACGAGTAATTCCAAGAGCATGCAATCTCTTTATGTAGTAGGTCAGACGGAAAACCTTCTTCGATAACGATAAAACGTGGGAAGACCAAGACAGATCAGAGGAAAAGGTGACACCAAGATAATTGACCTTCGACACTGAGTTTATCAAAGAGTCTCCGATGGTACAAGCACTATGGGATCTCAAAATAGTGTTTATATTCCGTTTATGTCTCATGCTAAAGTTAACAGCTTGACATTTATACGGATTAAGTATAAGACCATTACCAACAGAGCAACAATCAATACGAGACAAAAACTCATCCATTTTTGTGGGATGTAAAAAGGAAGGGATAGGCATACATACAGCGAAATCATCCGCATATTTCACAAAAGTGTTTTCTGTGGAAGATGGTAGATCATGCAGAAAAAGAAAGAAAAGAAGAGGTGAATGAGCATCTCCTTGTAGTACACCTTCATGAGACAGTAGAGACTCTGAACATTTTCCTCCAAACACAGTGTACTGTTCCCTTCCAGAGAGGTAGGAACATAGCCAGTTGGTTATTCAGATGTTAGTGTTGACGGCGATTAACTTGTTAATTAGACGTTGTCTTGGTATAGAATCAAAAGCTGAAGTATAGTCTAGAAAAGTGCATCGAACATACTTCTTACCCTTTCCTAAGTTAAACACTATATTGTGATGCAGAACAGCAATAGCATCTAAAGTGCTTCTTTTGCATCTGTAAACAAACTGATACGGATCAATATGCTCTTTTATCGCAGGCTGAAGTGGAAGTATCAGTAATTTTCCCTGTGGATAAAGGGAGCATCACATCAAATGACTGACGTACAAAAGACTTATTTAAGTCACAAACATTCAACTGGTTATCGCTCCTAATCTATCTGTCACCTGTCAGTTTTTTAAAGAGTTTCCACATACTTGGAGAGTTTTTGCAAGACAAGAGTTTTTGAGTAAACATAGAGTTGAGACGTCTAAACTCTAGGTTTATCAGACTACTTAGCTTACGAACTTCATTAGAGTTCTTCTCCTTGTACATTCTTTCTTTCATCCTTCGTAGTCGTTTTAGTTGTGGAGATGTAAGTCGATCAAAACTTACAAAAATGGTTTCAGTGGGACAATAAATATCAAAACAGAATTTAAGGTAACAAGTGATAACATCAGTAGTGTTTTCGAGTGAGTCATCTGTAAATAATTCCCAGTTAGTCGTATGAAACATGTTTTTCAGATTTCGGATATTTTCTTCTGAGTAATTCCTATATTTGACTTTCTTGGTTTGATGTAAGAGTGTTCTCGTTCCATGCTTCCCATATACTTTAGGTAGAACACGAATTATACAGTGATCCGAGCTAGAAAATGGAGTACGTTTACGAGTCACATATATACCCACATCATTAACGAAAACAAAGTCTAAATGAGCATCCAAACGAGTAGGAAAATCTACTACATTTTGGTGACCTAGTGACATAAGGAAGCTACAGTCACATGAATTAAAATCACCACCTACAACTGAAAGTGAATCACTAAAGGCAGTAACAGAGAGCTCAGTGAATTCATCAACGAAAACAGATGGCGCAGATGATGTGCAGTCTGGAGTCGCGTAGATATTGTTAACATAAACATATTTGTATTTATTCAGATGTTTTGGACGGCATCTTAGAGTTAGAAAGTCGATAAAGTAATTTGAAAACTTGAAACACGCAAACGATAATCGGCGTCAGTTCACGTTTACACACGTAGCTACATCGCCGCCACACCCCTTTTTATTGTTTGATCGATCCTGACGACAAATTTGGAAATCACGTAGTGATACAAGGGAGTCATCCTGTAAATCATTTAACCAAGATTCTTGAATTGTGATGACACCACAATTACGATACATATTTTGACTTAATAGGAATTGAAGATAGTCCACTTTGTTGATTAGTGGTCGGCATTTAGAATTTAGGAGCTCGAGAATCGACATACGATTAATGTTCATTCTCATTATCGCATATTGCCAACCACCACGATGTCTTTTATAGTACTTTTTTGTAACTTGTGCAGCGAAAGGTCGTAGGTTTTTCATAAACGCACCTGTATAGGTTTTGCGATTAATGGACGTAATGAGACGTTAGAACAAAATGAAAAAACAGATAATTGGTTGAAATAATTAGATGGCAGAAACAGGTAGCCCAGATATTCAAGCAGGCCGCCGTTCTCTTCAATATTATATGAACTAGTATTTGAACGAAGAATATTCTTTTCGATAAATTCTCATCAGGTTCTACAGTTATATATCCAAATTAATAATCCGAAAAAATGGCCAGGTTAAGGGCAAAATACATCGTTTAGAGCATGTGAATTTAGGATTGTGATAAATAAAATACAATAAAATTCTTAATGTTAATATGACTCATATCAGAATGTTAACTTGAATCTGCGTATATGTTAAATGATAATTTAAGATCCATGATCTTGGTGGAGTTTTGTTCTCTGAGCTGGATGGTTTGGTCGTGTCTTTTGGTCCTCTATGACGTGTTGGTATTTGCGGATTCTGTAGTGTGCATCCGTTATCATTAGGTGTACCATTTTTCTTCCACTTTGCTCAGCTATTTTCCATCCTAATGGGCAGTTGATTGGAGGTCTATATCTTACACTTGTTGGTAGAACATGCTGGTGAAGACATTCATGGAGAAAATATAGTTGTTCTCGAGTGGAAGCCTGCCTTTTGGCGAAATTCTCCCATTTTCGAACAACGAGAAGCGTATTACGCTCATATGATTTTGAGATGGTGGAGAAGATTTGTAGCTCAGGTGGATGATCCATGTGATCAGAATAAATATGGGTCAAATAAGGTGAGACAGAAATAATAGTGCAATTACAATTCGATCAAATAAGTAAGACGTAATACGGAGGGAGGAATGCGAAGTGAATGAATCATGTATAGGGGGAGATTAATGATGTTTAACCAATAATACGAATAATAATAATAATAATAATAATACAAAGATTTATGAATAAAGATAACAGGGACAATTACAATTGACTACGAAAGGTCATAGTCAAATTGGGTCATTCAATAGTTAAGATTACGATTGATTAATTGGCCTTGATGTTGGCCAGGGGAGGAGGAGTGGCTGAACATATTTCTTCTGTACGCATAGCTCAGGTTTCTTCATTCGGATGGCTACTGCTTCAGCTGTTTGAAGGACTTTCAGTATGACCAATTTTGGCAAAAAATTACCTTATAAATAATTGAAAAAGATTGGTTTATACTGGCACTATGACCCGTTTGTACTAAATGGGCCAATATTGAGCTGTTCAGCTTCTTCATCAAACCTTTATTTAGCCACACTGGAAGGTGTTCACGAGCACGAAAATGTAAATTCCTAGAACTTCGACCAATATAACTCACTCCACAGGAGCAGTTGAACTGATAAATACAAAATGAGGTGGTCATTCTAGGTAATTCATCTTTTAGCTTCGGTGTAACCATTGGGCGCGTAGAAAATACTAATTGTAGTTCTCCGGCGTTAAAAGACTTTTGTGTTGTCCTACGTAATCTCTGAGTTAGTATTTCGCTAGCCGCATCCCCTCTGAATTGTAGACGCATGAACAGGGATTTCTTCTTGACTGTTTGTATTTCGACTACTTTCGCCTTCGTGATCATATATTTAATTATAAACTTTCTAGGGTAGCCGTTCTCCCTGAGATTATTATGCAAGGTGGTAAGCTCTTGTTCGACTATATCAGCAGAACATATAGTGCGAATACGGTAACTAAGGTTTTTGATCAAATTTCGTTTGTACTGAAGAGGTACAAAGCTCAGGAAATTCGTATACTGCCCAGTCCATGTACTTTTTCTGTTTATACTCCTTTTTAACGATCCATCCACTCTCTTAGTCAAGAGAACGTCCAAAAAGGCTATTCGGCCATCACTCTCTTCTTCAGATGTAAACTGAATGGCTGGATGCACTTCATTAAATCGCCTAAGAACCTCTTGCCGTGACGTATTATCTTTACAGAGGATGAAGGTGTCATCCACGTATCTACAGTAAAATGTGAAGATTATTCGCAACTTCATAGCGATGAGGCTGCCTACCCGTTTGAAACGTAAGTGATTACAAGCTGGTTCTAGGATGGAAGAGAAAGGTGTTGAGCCAATTTTTTCTAACAGACTAAATCTCGTACAAGATAGTTTAAACCAGTCGACAAAAAGAATGTAGTTTGGGAATATGCAACTTAGTCATTTAGAGTTAGATCCAGAGGGATGTGTCTTACGGAAAAAACAATATTAGCTAGAGCATTGCGATAGATCTATGAGGCTTACTGTGCGTCAGTAGTTAGTGTATACAAGCAAGGAATATCTGTGTTTCGAATACTTGAAATCTGATCACGTAATAGAAGGTAGCACGACACCAGAAATCAGTAACCCTTTACTATTGAAGATTGATGATGGAAGTTGTAGTATAAGTCGAGTAAGCTGCCCAATCAGTTAGAATGTTAGCTTGCTCCCATGTAGCTTTTGCGTGCTATGTAAAACGGACAGATACAGTGGCAATAGCAAGTGTAAGATATACGAGCAAACTTCAATCAAGTTCGAGGAAATTGAAAAACGACGTTTTATGCAGAAGCTAGGATGGCTAGTTTTGACTAAGGGAATTAAACATCATAACTAGTTCCTGTCACATCAGATTTAGTTCTCATTTAGGTGGGCGGACTGTAGTGTCGATTAGCTGAGGTATAGAAGGCAAACTTGTGGTAAGTAGTATTCCAGACCCAGGCTTTGAAAATATATTTTAGAGTGACTATAACGAAGGTGGTCGATTAGGCGTATCTGTGTACGTTCTACTTCTTTCATAGGTATGTATATCAAACTGTGCATCCAGTGTGCTTGTGTCTGCATTGTTGCTTGTTTTCATTGATCTTGGATCAGCCTTTGCAATGCAGTCTAATCCATTCAATGAGTCTATACTTGACAGTGAGGGAAATTTCAACTCAAGCTAAAGTTCGGTAGCAAACGCCGAAGTTTATTTTTCATTAATACTGTCAACGACTTAGACTATTTGGTTATGTTTCATTTTATTAGTGTGACCATCACTGCTCGTCGTCGGGTATATATTGTTTCCAAACGATTAGCCTGGATACAAGTATTTTGGAAATAGCTTAAATGTTTTTGTATTTTGTTTTCAGATTATATCGTCCTACATTGTCTATAATAAGTTGATATTTTATTCAGCTAGTTTTTGTTTTGGGATATATGCATTGAGTTCTCGTCAATTTAGTTCTAGTGTGAACTACTTGCTTTGGGATTAGGGAATTCATAGTGCCCTAATACTGTTATCCATCGTCATACACATCAATAGTTTTAAGTGCAGACTAGATAAGAGTCTTCCTGTATGTTTTTCTTCGAATTCAACCTATAGCGTTATCAGTGAAGTTACTTAGAAGGAGCCATTGGTCCGGACATTTTGAATACTGTTGTTTCAGTCAGTCAGCTACAACGTAGGACCAGGCACATAAGTGCATCGGTCCAAGTTGCCATATCACATTAGCACAACAAGATGGACACCGAATTCATAAAAGTAGTTAATTCAGAGGTGGTAATATATAAAAGAAAGATTGCAATAAGGATATAGTACAGGAAGAAAGAATTAGTTCGTAGAAAGAAAGATAAGAAGCGATTTTAATCTCTTAGTTTAAGGGCAGACAGTGAGTGTATACACCTACGTCATTGTGATCGATTCTGAGCCATGTCACCCATAGTCTCTAACCATGGGTTACGATAGTCAAGTGGACCCCAACCAAGTAGTCTGCATCTACCAACATGACTCAGACTAGGAGTTACTGACTTCAAGCACTGATGCCACGTTTTGGTTTGACCGCCCCTAACTTTCTTCCAACCATCTCCAACACCGGTTAGCATTGCACGTCTTGGTAAACGGTGTTCGGGCATACGTAACAAGTGGCCCAACCATCTCAGTCGATGAATATTCACAACCTCTAACAGCACTCAAGTCCACTCTAATGTTGTCTCAAATCATTTAAAACTATTCTAAGCCGTGACATTACTCTGACTAATCCCATGTAAGCTAAATAACAAATCCGAAGTGTAAACGGTTTATAAATACGAAAATTCATAGTGGTTCTGGTTGTTGAGTGCTTTAGTAACTGGTCGCAAGTAGTCAGCAGATATGATCAACTTGCATTTTACCAAAAAAGAACTAGGACCTCTCAGTCAAACTTCAAGTTCTCTCTCTCTTTCTGCAGGCCTTGAACGAATCAGTATGCAGTGTTTTCAGATTTTAAATAGCATCGAGGTACTTTAAGGAATCATCGATAATGGGTTTTCCCATAAATTTACTGTAACCTATGAATTTCTGGTTACTGATAATGGACCATCTGTCACTGGTCTAAAAATGTTGAAAATGCTTCAAGTATAATTTTCCGTAATGAACTGCTTAAAAACTAAGTAACTAAAAAATTGCACATCGAAAAATTGTTCACAGCTTCAAAAATTGCATATTCTAATATTGACACAGAGAATATTCATTTTTTGAAACTACAATCTGATTTATGGACGATTGAATCAGTTCTAAGATTACGATTCTTGGATGGTGTCTCATTTTAACATTATAACTGGTGTTAGTGTGTAGTAATAACCTTACTTCTATATTTTTACTCTTAATTTATAACTCTAACATCTAGTCTGTATTCCTCATGCTAATTTATAACCATATTTTCATCATACACATATCATTAAAGAAATGGTCTTTCTATGTGATGAAAACTAATTTGAAGATTATTCAACACATATGTATTTCACAGATTGAAATCATGAGTCAGTTGAAGCTAGACCACCATTGAAAGCCTGGAAGCACTGGACGGCCGTTTCGTCCTAGTATGGGACTCCTCAGCAGTGCGCATCCACGATCCCGCACCATGCGGGGCTCGAACCCAGGACCTACTGGCTTCGCGCGCGAGCACTCAACCATTAGACCACTGAGCCTGCATCCAACGGTGTTAATGTCTAACTTCAACCAATCCACTGTGTTCTTTCTGACTTGTATGGTGATCGATCCGTTTATGACTGACTATCGGAATATGTATTGGAAAGTTATGGGAATTACTTAATAATATATCAGTTACAATTTACCTTATTGTGTTTTCGAAATGTAATTCAATTCATCAACTATTTTCTTTTATGAGAAAAATTTCTAAGGTCTTCTGGTTAATCTTATCGGTACTTTCAACATTCTATTAAATGTGTTACATGTAACGTCTAATCCACGAATATAATACTTTAATTTAGTTAAAGTACTATATCCACAAATTGAAGCTGCGGTTATAAGAGACTATAGATATGAAATGTTTTGAGGTGTATATTGTATCTAAACAAATTATCTTTTAATGATTCACTATAACTTCAATCAAATACTATTAACTCATTGTCATTCACAGATACCTTTATAGGTTATTTTTTTTATTTCAACACAGATATCGGTACAAATAGGCACCAAATACATATGCGCCAAACAAATCTCATTCGATATGTGTGAGGGCTGTGATACTGCCCGGGTACCCAAACCGAAGCAGGTGGTTTTCTTAGGGGGCCACTCCTCGATCCTTCGACCTGAAGGTCTGATTCACAAGGCAGTGGAGCATCGTCAGGAGATGCAGTCCCATGGAAGCCGGTGACCAACAATTGGTTCATTTGTTCCCGCAGGATACTGGAGCCCATGCAAACCATTGGTTTGGAATCCGGTTAAAGCGTCGGACATTCGCTTTTCGTCTTCTCATTTTTGTAAACAGCACCCCCTCCACGAGAAGGCAGTGAGTAGGACTTCCCTGGCAGAGGCTATAAACGCGTGGCCATGTGAGAACATTTCGAGAGGGAGAGCGGACTCTCTCCACTCTCGGCCGTACCTGGGCATTTGGGGGCCTTATAGGTTAGGGTAATTTTATAATGGTTTTTAGGAGAACTAACCGGATATCATTCAAACTTTTACATGATAACTAAAAACAATAAAACTCAATCCTATTTCATAAGAGAGTCAGACACCCACCCCATCACCAACAACCACCTACTTGACTAATACGAGTTCCATCCCACATTATTCTCATTGTGAAGAAAATAATAAAAAAAAAATTTATTTATTGCAATATAAGTTTTATTGAAAATAAACTATTCACTACAAAAAAAATGTACTTCATTAAAAAAAAATTAATAACAAACATTAACTAAACTAATATTGATTAAGATAAATTAATAAACAATAATAAATCAATAAACGATAATAAATAAATAAATAAATAAGGAAAATTTATGGATTATTTAAGATGATTTAATGTTAAAGCGGCATTTCTTTGACGATATTTATAAATGATTCCAATAACAATTGCAATTAGTAAAATTCCAGCAGCAGCAGCAGCTATGGCGATGATAGTTCCGGTGTGATCTTCTGGAACTAATGAGTAAATAATAATAACAAAAAAGTATAATTAAAATCAGATTTATTTATATATTTAAACACATGAACATTAGTACAGGGAAGTACCGAATAGATATACGCCACATAAATCATTCGATTTGTATGAGGGCTGGAATACTGTCCAGGTGCTTAAATTGAAACAGGTGGTTTTCCTAAGGGGCCATACCCGGAAACTTCAACCTAAAGTTCTGATCCACAAGTCAATTGAGCAACGTCGGGAAATACAGTCCCATGGTATGCAGTGACCAATAATTGGTTCATATTGTCATTTTTTCCTTCGGGATACTAGAGCTCATGTGCATCATTGGTTTAGAATTAGGGTTATCCAACTCCCCTAGATAAATCCTCCATCTCCAACAACCCGGTTAAAGCACCGGACATTCGTATTTTGTACTCTCAATTTCGCAGTTAACAGTGATGCCGCGAGAAAGCAGTGAGTGAGAGCATTTCGAGAGAGAGAGGTGGCTCTCCCCACTCTCGGCCGTACCAGAGCATTTGGGGGAAGAACTAATCAGGTAAAAAATAATAGGTCTTGGACTTTGGCGCGAAATTCATTCATCCATTTGGATAAATGGCGTTTTGGTATTATAACTGATGTCAGTTCATGATGAAAACCCTAAATCTCATTTCTAACCTTAAGCCCATCAATTGTCATTCATAATTCTAATTCCACAAACTGGTTTATAACCCTTATCTGGTCTTAGTTATTAGGTGAACACACGTAGAATTTTTTACAAAAAGAACACACCACTAACGGGTTCTTTATTCAGTTATTCAATACAAATCTATCATAGTAGTATGTTTTATAACCTAAACGTAACTTACACAATCTGTTATAGCAGTATTGGGTTGTGGCGATTATTATATTTTTTTAATTGAGACCATGAACCGACTGATGTTAGACCGCCATTGAAAACCTGTAGAAGTAATGGACTGCCGTTTTGTTCTTTTTTGGGATTTCTCAGCAGTGCTTATCCACGATTCCGCTCGTGAGGATCGACTCATGATCTCGACCAACAAATAATTATCTCCACAACCCCGTACTGATAATTACCATGTGCTCACTAGTGACTAGCTTCGTGAGAGAATTCTCGGAGTTCTAGTTAGAAGTCGTGACCAATGGAGCTAGTCCGTGTCAAGTAGAGATAGCTATCTACCTCAGTATAATAGAAGATGGTCGCGCAATTTCGTGGATTAGTTGAGGTTAGACATTAACAGTGTGGGATGCCGGCCGGCTTAGCGCGAGACCGAAGTCCTCGGGTTCGAATCTGGTGATCGGGATTGTGGATGCACAATGATGAGGATTCCCATACTAGAACGACACGGCCGTCCAGTGCTCCCAGATTTTTATTGGTGGTCTAACATTAATATTTGTATTGTAGTGAACGAGAACACTAGTTGGGACAATCAGATGTATTTTATTATCATACTATGAATATTTTATTTGCAAAATATCCATTAATTGTTTCGGATTTTGTTATTATTTCATTTTTATATCACAATCACTCTCTGTTCGTTTTCTCTTCTCTTCTCAACCTTCTACCTTCAGTCATTTCACTTTCGGTTGATGACACATACTACTTATATCTATCAACATCAGTAGCATACATCACATTATATGTGTAAACAAACAAAACGAAACAATGAATAAGGATTAATTAATTCAGTGTCAATGTATCACTAATATTAGTAAAATGAACGTTTCTATTATCTTAAGGTATATAGGTTTCTTTCATTATATCATCTTAAGGTATAAGTCTAATCAAAATATGTTTCCATTGATATTTATGTCTGTAATTGATCAGTCTCTCTTATTGGCACATGTGTATTCTGTGCTGATTGCGTCGATATTGATATTTAGTCAAAAAGATTATCAGCAAAGATAGTATATAATGAGTAAGATAAGAAGTGCACAAACCTACGTTTACATAAAAATAGTCAAGGTTGATAAACGAATAATTAGGAAGATCAAGAATATAGCTTGAGAAGAATGAATAAATTGCTCTGTTCGAATGTTAGAATAATTTATGTGGGCTTGACATGGTACTAGACACTACAAGCTAATTAAATGAGCATTAATATAGATTAATTGATTGAGAAAAAGAGACTAACCTTTTTTCGTACGTTTCTTCTTCTTCTTTATTATTGCTATATGATAATTAAATAAAAGAGACAAGAAATGATCAATTAATCTCATAGGATTACTACCCTCTCAGTGAATGCAAATAAACACAAACCAACAATGAAAATATAAATCAATGTATTAGATGTGATACAAAGAGTATGATTGAAGCAGGAAATTGTGTACAGTGTAACGTGTGTGTATGTGTGTGTGTGGGTGGGTATGTATGATGTTAATCGTTATGGTTGTGTTGATTGTATTCTACCTGAATCTTGATATTATGAATACGATCTGATCAAATCAGCATGGATATTAATTAATGAAGGTATAAAACGAAACTCACTTTTAGTTTTTAATACAATCGTTTCTATATTTTGAATAAAAATAATGAGAAAAAGATTAATGAATAGATAAATGTGTTAGTTCAAAATGAGACAGAATAATGTATACCACAATCCTCGTAAACGTAGATGCTTTTTTGACATAATGGTTTAACTTACCTACCCTAATAACTCAATTGAGGTGCATTAGCTAGAATACGTGTCCCTTGATGTCCCATCATACCAGACAGGTAGATTGGAAAATGATAGAAGGAAAAGCAGAAACTCGAAAGTGAAGTCGTACTGTTGGCTGTATATAGCTGTGTTGAATGAAAGGTATATTTTTCAGACAATCAACATCTAAAGCGATATTACTTTCTTTCAACGATATATATGTGATTTTTTTCCCCAGTCCTTTATTTATGTGGCTTTCCTAACTCTTTTTCTACCACTTTATCAACCATTCACTTAGTCAAATATCTTAATTGCTTTTTTAATTGATGTCCCGAACGACTATAAGTTAGACAGCAAAAATCTCGGAGAGTTGGATGTCTGTTTCGTTCTTGTATAAGACTCCCCAGTAGTACGCACCTACAATACCACAACTGAGAATCAAACCTAGAGCAAATGATATCACGTACAAACTCTTAACCTATAAACCACTGAGCTGAAATCTGAGAGTCTTAAAGGCTAACGCTAATCAGTAGACTATATTGTTTTCGGTGGGTAACGTCATTGCATCATCTTGCTTTTGAGATGGTCAGATATACTTAGTTTAAAAGAAAAAATAATAATTCCATGAAAATTTTTTTTACTAACTTTTAGTTTCCACATTAGATAACTTCAGTCCGGTTTTGTTGTCTGATTTCTCATTACCAGAATTAATAATATTTGTAAATGCTTCTGTAGTCAGTTCTTTTCCTTGAGGAGTTGGAATTTCTATATTCGCTGTTCCTTGAATACCTTGTTCTCTATTTTGATTTAAGGTCGCGTCTACCTGTCTTTTCAGACGATTTGAGGACTCAACTGGTGTGAATGTAACATTAGTACATTTTGCATCGTTTGACAATGATGGATTTCCGAGTTTCAAACTACTTAAAATCTGTGAATTTTATAAAAATGGATAACAAATTACTAATTAACGTTTTAATCAATGAAAGAATCATTAGATTTTAGAAAATTATGAGTGACAACTATTCTTGTGCGTTGGTCATATGTGCCAATCAGTAATCATTACTACTATAAATATATTATTTATTTATTTAGTTGAACACATAAATATTGGTACAAGGGGGCACCAAATAGTCAGGGCGGCCTGCTTGAGCATCTGGGCTACCTGTTCCTGCCATCTAGATATTTCAACAAGTTATCTATTGTTGTTTGTTTTAATATATCATTATGTTTATTAATCGCATAACCTATTCTGCTGCGTTTCTGAAAAGTGTACAACCTTCTAAGTTACAGAAAACTCAATAAGGACAATATGGTTGCTGGCAATGTACAACGGAAAGAATGTACATTATTCAGTTGTTCATTCACTGAAGTGCTAACATCTAACTGGCGATTCCTCAATATTTATCGCCAGGACCGACCAAGAAGAAAGAAACGGAAACTTGTTGAAATACTTTGCGCTGAGAATTCTATATTGTACCAAAATTATAATATTGAATAAAGCTAATAATAATAATAATAACACATAAATATTGGTACAAGGGGGCACCAAATATATATGCGTCACATAACAACAATGAGAATGGGAAAAGAAAAAAAGGAAGGTAAGGAGCGTAAAAAAAAGAACAATAACGAACAGATTAGTGTAAGGTAGTGTAATAATAATAATAATAATAATAATAATTGGGGGAAACGGAAAGGCACAATCAGAAGAAATCTTTCAGTTCAGGAAGATACAACCACTTTTTACGAAGAAAGTAAAAGAAGGTTACAGCAGGATCGCCACTGGCTTCTATTCTGAACCATATCTGATAACGTCTCTAGCCACTGTGTTGCACCATCTCTAGGACCCCAACCAGGGAGTCATGAAGGCCCAACAGATGCCAGTCCTGTGCAACTTTAGTTCATGCCACGACACCATGTCATATAACGACCACCTCCTCTTTTTCCAACCAGTCCCAGAGTCGGCAAATAATGCACGACGTGGAATTCTCTGGGACGACATTCGTAGAGCATGTTCAAGCCACCGAAGTCGGTGTTTCAAGATGGTGACACCAATTGAGTTATCATCTCTGTACCCGAACACACGATGCCGAACCTCTGCATTACTGACATGGTGTTGCCACTGGATGTCAGCAATCCTTCGGAGACAGCGATGATCGAACACAGAGAGTCGTCTAACGTCCTCAACTCGGAGAGGCCAGGTTTCACATGCTTAGAGCAAAACTGCTCTCACCGACGCGTTGTAGATCCGGCCTTTTACAGCCAGACTAACATCACGAAGGCGCCAAAGATGGCCCAGATTGGCATAAGCCGCTCTGGCTTTCACTATACGTGCATTGATCTCATCACTCACACCCCCACCAGCACTTATGCAGCTACCCAGATATCACGAACTTCTCAACTACGTCTATGTGCTCACCATCCAGGGTGAGTACAGGATTGGAATCCTGCCAGTCTTGTAGAAGTACTTTGCACTTCGAAGGTGCAAAGCACATACCATACCTACGGACACTGATTGCAAACTGATTAAGTGAGGATTGCATGGCTTAGGCATTATTATTATTAAATAATCAATCGTCAGTGAAATTCACACACTTTCTCTCAATTCTAATTTTGATGATATTAGTTCATAATTCACTAGACAAGTATGACTCTTTCAATTGATTATGGAATAAACTTATCACTGATGAAACCTTTTATTTAAAAAAAAATGCAATCACTAATTTTAAGTAATGGATTGTGGAGATTGTTAAATTTTTTGATTGAGATCATGAATCGATAAATGTTAGATCATCATTGAAAACCTGAACGCATTGTACGATCATTTTGTATATAAATTCTCAACAGTGCTCATCCACAAACTTACATGCAGATTCCACAGAAAATTTTATAATTCTATATAAATTTATTCATTAAATACATACCATCTTTCCATGTAAATCAATCAATGCCCAATACGAATGATTAACAAGTTAAATGGAGAGTAAGTGATGGCAACTGATTCATATGTTTACTATGAAGTCTAGAATTACATTCACATATACTATCTATAATTAACTATCTATTGAAAGCAAATTTACAAAAATAATATTATACTCACTGAATCACAAAATATAGCTGCCAAATTAATATAAGCTGGAGTACTTGTATTTGTCAATTCAACTGACCAATATTGTGGTAATGTTTCATTCTCTATAGCCAATACTGACTTCACTTCAAATGTTGGTACTATAGAAATATATAGAAAATCAAATAGTCATAGTTTCTGTATTATTGGCAAATAAAAGTTAAATTATAATAGACATTTACAATTATTAGGAAATTATGTAACCAGTGGAGCTAATCCTTGTCGGGTAGAGACAGTTATCTACTTAAGTACAATGGAAGTTGGTCGCGCAATTTCGTGGATTGGTTGAGGTTAGAAACTATCATCATTGGATGCCGGCTCAGTGGTCCAGTTGGTTAAGCGTTCGCGCGCGAGACCGAAGGCCCTGGGTTCGAATCCCGCTCGCGGGATCGTGGATGCGCACTGCTGAGGAGTCCCACAATAGGACGAAACGGCCGTCCAGTGCTTCCAGGTTTTCAATTGTGATGGTCTAACATCAATTGGTTCAAGATCTCAATCAAAAAATTATGTAAAAAGCGAAAATAGATTTAAGAATTATGTGTATAATACAATAGCAACTATCAATATAACAGGACTGGCAAAAAAAAATTGCAAAGACAAATTAAGGGAAAAGAAAGAAGTATACAGGGAAAGACAAAAGAAAAAAGTATAAAAATGAAAAGAAAAGAAGACTGTAAAAGATGAAAATATACAAAAAAAAATAAAAGAAAACAAACAATAAACTAATCAGAAGGATTTGACAAGCATATTTAATAAATAAAAAAGAGTAAAACATAAGAAATCCATAGAAATTAAGATAAAAACAAAACGAGATTTTATAAAAAGCCAGATCGAGAGAAACAAAAAGAAAATTTGTGACAATGAGAACGTGAAGGAAAAAATATTAAAGCAAGTGAAAATATAAATAATGAACGTGGAATATCTAAAATATAAAATAAAGCATATATAAATATGTATTGAAAAAAACAACAACTATCGATTAAACTTCGGTAAAAACAAATGAAATATAAGTAAACAAAGAAAAGAAAAGGAGCATCAATAAAAATTGACAGAAATAAAACATCGCATCCTCACCTTCAACAATAATATCCACAGCAATTTCGCGAACAGGATCACTTTCATTGATATCTACAAGGTGATTGATTGAAAACCGTGAGTCAAGTGGTCAATGCACACATGAATATTCCACTGGACAATGAAAATAATCAAATGAGATTGACTTGTGCGTGTCGAGTGATCAATGAATGTTGTGTGATTGTGAAATTGTGAAGTGTGAATGTGCAGAGAGAGACAAGGTGTGTCAGACAGTTTGTCAGGTGGAAACACAGACGGTGGACGAACAGACGAAGAGACAGAAAGAGAGTGAGGCGGATAGACAGGCAGACAGAGCGATATACAGAGAGACAGAATAACCGATCGACTGACCGTCTGACCGACCGACTGACTGACCGACCAACCGACCGACCGACCGAGCAGTAATCGGCAATATTGTGTGACGACCGACGTTGTTGTGAATGGAGAAGGCGACTGTGAGCGATGGTGATGTGAGAAGAGGGAATGTCGTGGATTCATGTAGATCTAAATGTTAATATGTTTATATGTATATATCTATGTGTATATTTATATGTATATATATCTATATATATGCATATATATGGCTATATGTTTAGTTGGTGAGGGGATGTGTTATATGTGGAGGGATGTGATTGAAGCAATGATTGATTTGATAGTGAAATGTGTTTAATGTGTGATGTTTGATGGGTGTGTATGTGGAGAAAAGAGGTGATATGAAGTGGTTGAGTGAGTAATTGTGTTAATAAATGAGTAGTCTAGTGAGCGAGTCAGTGAATGTGAGTGATTGTGTTTCGCAATGTGTGCGTGTGCACTTTTGTTGTGTGTTTAAATATGTGTGTGTGAGTGAGAGTGTGTTAGAGAAATAGAGTGTTTGTGTTTAGTTGTACCGGACTGACGGTTCACACGTGTGTCAGATAGTCAAAACAATATCAGTATACATTGATGCAAATGATTTTTGTAATACTTACTATCATCTTCATATTCCTGTACTCCATCTTCATTGACGTCCGCTTCATTCTCATCTACAAGGTGATTGATTGAAAACCGTGAGTCAAGTGGTCAATGCACACATGAATATTCCACTGGACAATGAAAATAATCAAAAGAGATTGACTTGTGCGTGTCGAGTGATCAATGAATGTTGTGTGATTGTGAAATTGTGAAGTGTGAATGTGCAGAGAGAGACAATGTGTGTCAGACAGTTTGTCAGGTGGAAACACAGACGGTGGACGAACAGACGAAGAGACAGAAAGAGAGTGAGGCGGATAGACAGGCAGACAGAGCGATATACAGAGAGACAGAATAACCGATCGACTGACCGTCTGACCGACCGACTGACTGACCGACCAACCGACCGACCGACCGAGCAGTAATCGGCAATATTGTGTGACGACCGACGTTGTTGTGAATGGAGAAGGCGACTGTGAGCGATGGTGATGTGAGAAGAGGGAATGTCGTGGATTCATGTAGATCTAAATGTTAATATGTTTATATGTATATATCTATGTGTATATTTATATGTATATATATATATATATATATATATATGCATATATATGGCTATATGTTTAGTTGGTGAGGGGATGTGTTATATGTGGAGGAATGTGATTGAAGCAATGATTGATTTGATAGTGAAATGTGTTTAATGTGTGATGTTTGATCGGTGTGTATGTGGAGAAAAGAGGTGATATGAAGTGGTTGAGTGAGTAATTGTGTTAATAAATGAGTAGTCTAGTGAGCGAGTCAGTGAATGTGAGTGATTGTGTTTCGCACTGTGTGCGTGTGCACTTTTGTTGTGTGTATATATATGTGTGTGTGAGTGAGAGTGTGTTAGATAAATAGAGTGTTTGTGTTTAGTTGTACCGGACTGATGGTTCACACGTGTGTCAGATAGTCAAAACAATATCAGTATACATTGATGCAAATGATTTTTGTAATACTTACTATCATCTTCATATTCCTGTACTCCATCTTCATTGACGTCCGCTTCATTCTCATCTACAAGGTGATTGATTGAAAACCGTGAGTCAAGTGGTCAATGTACACATGAATATTCCACTGGACAATGAAAATAATCAAATGAGATTGACTTGTGCGTGTCGAGTGATCAATGAATGTTGTGTGATTGTGAAATTGTGAAGTGTGAATGTGCAGAGAGAGACAATGTGTGTCAGACAGTTTGTCAGGTGGAAACACAGACGGTGGACGAACAGACGAAGAGACAGAAAGAGAGTGAGGCGGATAGACAGGCAGACAGAGCGATATACAGAGAGACAGAATAACCGATCGACTGACCGTCTGACCGACCGACTGACTGACCGACCAACCGACCGACCGACCGAGCAGTAATCGGCAATATTGTGTGACGACCGACGTTGTTGTGAATGGAGAAGGCGACTGTGAGCGATGGTGATGTGAGAAGAGGGAATGTCGTGGATTCATGTAGATCTAAATGTTAATATGTTTATATGTATATATCTATGTGTATATTTATATGTATATATATATATATCTATATGCATATATATGGCTATATGTTTAGTTGGTGAGGGGATGTGTTATATGTGGAGGGATGTGATTGAAGCAATGATTGATTTGATAGTGAAATGTGTTTAATGTGTGATGTTTGATGGGTGTGTATGTGGAGAAAAGAGGTGATATGAAGTGGTTGAGTGAGTAATTGTGTTAATAATTGAGTAGTCTAGTGAGCGAGTCAGTGAATGTGAGTGATTGTGTTTCGCAATGTGTGCGTGTGCACTTTTGTTGTGTGTGTATATATGTGTGTGTGAGTGATTGAGTGAGTGAGTGGGTGTATGAGTGAGTGAATGAGTGAGAGTGTGTTAGAGAAATAGAGTGTTTGTGTTTAGTTGTACCGGACTGATGGTTCACACGTGTGTCAGATAGTCAAAACAATATCAGTATACATTGATGCAAATGATTTATGTGATACTTACTATCGTTATCAGGTTCCTCGTTTACTTCTTGATTGTCTTTATGTTCATTCTCATCTACAAGGTGATTGATTGAAAACCGTGAGTCAAGTGGTCAATGCACACATGAATATTCCACTGGACAATGAAAATAATCAAAAGAGATTGACTTGTGCGTGTCGAGTGATCAATGAATGTTGTGTGATTGTGAAATTGTGAAGTGTGAATGTGCAGAGAGAGACAAGGTGTGTCAGACAGTTTGTCAGGTGGAAACACAGACGGTGGACGAACAGACGAAGAGACAGAAAGAGAGTGAGGCGGATAGACAGGCAGACAGAGCGATATACAGAGAGACAGAATAACTGATCGACTGACCGTCTGACCGACCGACTGACTGACCGACCAACCGACCGACCGACCGAGCAGTAACCGGCAATATTGTGTGACGATCGACGTTGTTGTGAATGGAGAAGGCGACTGTGAGCGATGGTGATGTGAGAAGAGGGAATGTCGTGGATTCATGTAGATCTAAATGTTAATATGTTTATATGTATATATCTATGTGTATATTTATATGTATATATATATATGCATATATATGTCTATATGTTTAGTTGGAGAGGGAATGTGTTATATGTGGAGGGATGTGATTGAAGCAATGATTGATTTGATAGTGAAATGTGTTTAATGTGTGATGTTTGATGGGTGTGTATGTGGAGAAAAGAGGTGATATGAAGTGGTTGAGTGAGTAATTGTGTTAATAAATGAGTAGTCTAGTGAGCGAGTCAGTGAATGTGAGTGATTGTTTTTCGCACTGTGTGCGTGTGCACTTTTGTTGTGTGTTTAAATATGTGTGTGTGAGTGATTGAGTGAGTGAGTGAGTGAGTGAGTGAGTGAGTAGTGAGTGAGTGAATGAGTGAGAGTGTGTTAGAGAAATAGAGTGTTTGTGTTTAGTTGTACCGGACTGATGGTTCACACGTGTGTCAGATAGTCAAAACAATATCAGTATACATTGATGCAAATGATTTATGTGATACTTACTATCGTTATCAGGTTCCTCGGTTACTTCTTGATTGTCTTTATGTTCATTCTCATCTACAAGGTGATTGATTGAAAACCGTGAGTCAAGTGGTCAATGCACACATGAATATTCCACTGGACAATGAAAATAATCAAATGAGATTGACTTGTGCGTGTCGAGTGATCAATGAATGTTGTGTGATTGTGAAATTGTGAAGTGTGAATGTGCAGAGAGAGACAATGTGTGTCAGACAGTTTGTCAGGTGGAAACACAGACGGTGGACGAACTGACGAAGAGACAGAAAGAGAGTGAGGCGGATAGACAGGCAGACAGAGCGATATACAGAGAGACAGAATAACCGATCGACTGACCGTCTGACCGACCGACTGACTGACCGACCAACCGACCGACCGACCGAGCAGTAACCGGCAATATTGTGTGACGATCGACGTTGTTGTGAATGGAGAAGGCGACTGTGAGCGATGGTGATGTGAGAAGAGGGAATGTCGTGGATTCATGTAGATCTAAATGTTAATATGTTTATATGTATATATCTATGTGTATATATATATATATATATCTATATGCATATATATGTCTATATGTTTAGTTGGAGAGGGAATGTGTTATATGTGGAGGGATGTGATTGAAGCAATGATTGATTTGATAGTGAAATGTGTTTAATGTGTGATGTTTGATGGGTGTGTATGTGGAGAAAAGAGGTGATATGAAGTGGTTGAGTGAGTAATTGTGTTAATAAATGAGTAGTCTAGTGAGCGAGTCAGTGAATGTGAGTGATTGTTTTTCGCACTGTGTGCGTGTGCACTTTTGTTGTGTGTTTAAATATGTGTGTGTGAGTGATTGAGTGAGTGAGTGAGTGAGTGAGTGAGTGAGTGAGTAGGTGAGTGAGTGAGTGAGTGAGAGTGTGTTAGAGAAATAGAGTGTTTGTGTTTAGTTGTACCGGACTGATGGTTCACACGTGTGTCAGATAGTCAAAACAATATCAGTATACATTGATGCAAATGATTTATGTGATACTTACT